GCTTTCTTTATGGTCCAGCTCTCACTTCCATACATCACAACAGGGAAAACCATAGCTTTGACTATGCAGACTTTTGTTGGTAAGGTGATGTCTCTGCTTTTTAGGATGTTGTCAAGGTTTATCATTGCTTCCCTCCCAAGAAGATGGCGTCTTTAAATTTCGTGGCTGCTGTCACCATCTGCAGTGATCATGGAGCCCAAGAAAGTAAAATCTGTCACTGCCTCCATATCTTCCCCTTCTATTTCCCAGGAGGTGATGGGACCAGTGGCCATGATCTTAGTTTTTCTGATGTTGAGCTTCAGACCGTTTTTTGCACTCTCTTCTTTCACCCTCATTACAAGGTTCCTTAATTCCTCCTCACTTTTTGCCATCAGAGTGGTATCATCTGCATATCGGAAGTTGTTGATATTTCTTCCGGCAATCTTAATTCCCGCTTGGGATTCCTCCAGTCCGGCCTTTCGCATGCTGTATTCTGCATATAAGTTAAATAAGCAGGGAGACAATATACAGCGTTGTTGTACTCCTTTCCTAATTTTGAATCAATCAATTGTTCCATATGCAGTTCTAACTGTTGCTTCCTGTCCCACATATAGATTTCTCAGTAGATAGATAAGGTGGTCAGGTACTCCCATTTCTTTAAGAACTTGCCATAGTTTGTTATGGTCCACACAGTCAAAGGCTTTTGCTTAGTCAATGAAGCAGAAGTAGATGTTTTTCTGGAACTCTCTGGCTTTCTCTATAATCCAGCGTATGTTAGCAATATGGTCTCGAGTTCATCTGTCCCTTTGAAATCCAACTTGTACTTCTGGGAGTTCTCGGTCCACATACTCCTGATGCCTACCTTGGAAGATTTTGAGCATAACGTAGCTAGCGTGTGAAATGAGTGCAATTGTATGGTAGCTGGAGCATTTTTTGGCACTGTCCTTCTTTGGGATTGGGATGTAGACTGATGTTTTCCAATCCTCTGGCCACTGCTGAGTTTTCCAAACTTGTTGGCATATTGAGTGTACCACCTTAACAGCATGATCTTTTAAGATTTTAAATAGTTCCACTGGAATGCCATCACCTCCACTGGCCTTGTTATTTGCCATGCTTTCTAAGGCCCACTTGACTTCACTCTCCAGGATGTCTGGCTCAAGGTCAGCAACCACACTATCTATGTTGTCTGGGACATTCAGATCTTGCTGATATAATTCCTCTGTGTATTCTTGCCACCTCTTCTTGATGTCTTCTGGTTTTGTTAGGTCCCTACCATTTAGGAACCCTTATTAAAATGCATCAATATTATCTCCATCACCATTTGCTGCACAAACACCAAAATCAACAACACCCATTTTGTTGCCCCCAGATCTGTATAGGGATACAAAATCTATTTCTGATTGAGAGATAACTGGCAGAAACTCTTTTGGAAATAAAAGCGAAGTATTTTAAACCAATACTACCTTACACAGTTTGCTCCAGTCTTTGGTACAGTCTTGGCGAAAGCCAGCAGTGAAAGCACCCAAATAAGCTATTACTCCAGCTGATACTAGCACATCTCCTGTTAAATTGTCATATGTATTTTGAAGATCATTTGCAGCATTAGACCATCTATGAGAAAACACAAGACAGAATTAGGATAAAATGTTTTATTATTGAGTACTTCACTTATATTAATTCTTTTTTCCTTTGTTATAAGGATTTAAGATGGGGTTTGGACCTTATTAGAGGATAACTGTCAGGATAAGAGTATTCTAAGTTATGGAGCAGCCTTCCCATTTTGCCCAACACAATTCCTATGGTCTTTTTGTTATCAGGCAGAGGTATTTTATGTGACTTATATAGTTTGGGCCTCTGACTTTTAAAATCTGTGGCCAGTGTCCTGTTCATTTTTATCACACTCAGAAAAGTATCATGGAAGTGGATACAGTTAATTGATGAGGTGTCAGCTGTGCATTGGTTGTGTGCCTGGGATGTGCCTCGCTCATCTCTTAACCATGGCTGCTTCCACAATTTTCTCTCCATGCATGATAAAAAGTAACAAGAGACTGACCTGTGTATATAGTGGTGCCTCGGCTTATGAACGTCTTGACTTGTGACCAATTTGAGTTACAGCCAGCTCTGGTTGCAAAATTTTGCTTTCACTTGTGTCCGGCGCTTTGAGATACGACCGGAAAAAAGGCTCCTTCCCTCCTTTCCTGCCCCTTTTTTAATCTTAGAGGTCATTTTAGGTTAAAAAAAGTCTCGCCCTGATGGATGGATTAACCGCTTTTGTATTAGTTCCTATGGGAACTAATGCTTTGAGATACAACCCAAAAATGGCTTGAATGGATTAATTGCGTTTCAATTTATTCCTATGGGAAATGGTGCTTTGAGTTACAACCAACTTGAGTTACGACAATCATCCTGGAACGAATTAAATTTCCAACTCAAGGGACCACATTATTCATATATTGTTTGTTATGACATTGGTTTTGTTATAATCTAGGCTGCCTTCAATCACTGAATGCTTACTTTAAAAGGAATGTTTTACATCCTTGTACATAAGGAACATTGAAAAAAGTGTGTACTTGCAACTAAGTAATCTGTATTTTTCTCTAACCTTGATTTTTCTCCACCAAGTCCTCCAATCAGCTTTTCTGCTCTTTCTAGCTTTTTAGCACATAAATCCACCTGAAATTCTAGCTGAGCTTTTTCTTCAGTTTTCTCAGAAAAAGTTTGTTGTAAAGCGTCCAAACGATCTTCAACAGCTTTAAGTTCATCTCTCTTCTGATTTAGTAGTGCCATCGTCTGCGCTAATGACTGCTGTGCTTCTGCTAAACGGGCTTTCTTAGGAGCAACCACCTATTTGACATATTCATCAAAAGCTCACTAAATTGCCAACAAATAATTATAAATTAATTGAGAACAAATAGAAACAATTAAATTTAGAAAAATTAATGGGTTTAGTTAAAAAAAATGAAAGTGGTATGCCTGAATAATTTCCATTTCCATGAATTAATTAAAATTAATTAAAAACCTAATCTGGGTGATAGATAGGTAGATAAAACTTTATTATGCTCAAAAGACCAGCCACCTAATCTGGATGGGTTTCACTTCTTCTGAAAGAGCAAGTAAATAACCTGGAAATATTCCTAGATCCAGCACTGTTACATGAGACTCATGTGAACCCTATGGGAAAAAGTGCCGCTTACAAGCTTTGGTTGGCTCACCAGCTATGACTGTGCCTGGGCAGAGATAGCCATATTGATTATTTATTTGTTTCATTTGCAGCCCACCCCAGTGAGCTAAAAAAGGCTTATGTGCTTCTCCCCTTGTGAGATAATTCAGAATAAGAAAATGTGACCTCCCTAAGATCATCCAGTGATCTTTGTCCTGCCCAAGATCATCCTGTGATCTTTGTAGCCATGTGGGAATGCCAAGCCAGGTCTCCAAATCCTAATCACTTTGATCATGTTGATTCATGCTTTGGTAATTCCCAACTGGATTATAACCATGTATTGTACTCTGAGCTGCCCTTGAAGCTTCAATTAGTGCTAAATGAAGCTGCTAGGATTTAACTGTTATAGCCAGCTTGCTCAGGATTTATATATCCCAAGTGAGCGAGCAAGCAAGCTGTCGTTCCAAACCTTGGGTCTCCAGATATTCTTAGCCATAACTCCCCCAAATCCTAGCTAGCATAGCTAGTGGTGAAGGCTTCTGGGAGTTTCAGTCCAAGAACATCTGGGGATCCAAGGTTGGGAACCACTGCTCGAAAGAGTTTGATGGTGAAACCTTCAGATGAGAGCAGGTTAGGATATCTAGGCAGAAGAGATTTTTATATTCTAAGGGCTTTCCTTCCCCACTTGTTCTAATTTTACGTTGATCCCCAGAGAAGTTGAGTCTTTTAGTGTTTACATAATTTGCAGGTGCTTGTACCATCCAGCGACCTAGAAAAACGCATCCATGTACAGTATTCTTCTTTTCTTTTTAATAAGAAATTACATTGGTGATTATTATGTTCTGAAGAGAGAAGTCTGTGTGCACATGCTTAAGACTGTGAAGTCAAGCCAGAACCCAAAGATTTCTGAAGTGTAAGGGACACTTGAGGAAGTTCAATCCAACCTAGAGAGCCAAGAGGGAATTAGTAGGGTTTTAAGGACAGCTGCTTTCTGCATTCCAAGAACATAGTGGGAAATCAGCATTAACAGTGACAAAAAAGACAGACCTCCACTGGATTTCTAAACTTTGGTGAACTTCACTTGCCCATCTCTGTCTTTTAATTCTAACACTTCTTATATATCTTTATAAGTATCCTATCTGCTCATGTGCATATACATTCATGTATATTGTTTCTGAATGTGAAAGTGGGTTCTTACTAGCAGGGCTTTTATGACATACCTTTGCTACTCTGTCATAAACTTCCATTGCCATAATCCATTTACATAAACCTTCTGCAGCTGAGGATGCTTTAGCCACTTTGGGTGGATCGAACTCAGGATTAGTTAAATACTCAGAACGGATCTTCTGCATCACAGATACCTAAATAAAAATACATCATAAATATTTGGAAACGGTATAGGCCAGTAACAAGACATCCTGAAAACCTGTTATTACCCACCACTCCACTTGAGTATCTGTTATTGTCAGCCTGTACTTATCCCTTGCCTATCTCCCTTTATCTATGTAATTTGGCAAATGATACTTTACAAATCTCTGTATATTGAAAATAGGGAACACTGCAAAAAAGAATTCATAAATGGGATGGAAAAGTACACAATTCCTCTCTATGATTCTCTTCTGCAAAGGCCCACTGTGTAAATGTTTCCTCAGCTTTGTTTCTTTCCAGTTTGGGTGCCCAGTTGAGTAAAACTATTAAAAATCATCTGGGCAGCAGGTGTAGAGGGAAAGGGCAGGTGCAAGAGCTTCCTGTCTCACTGATTTTCCCATGGAAATGCCTTCTTAGATTCTGCATTAAGCAGTACGTGGAGAATCTTCTGTTCTCCTTGCACTGTTCAATTGCCTCCTGAATGATCATTTCTCATCTCGTGGACTCTCACACCACAGCTGTTGTTACCTGTTCCTGCCAGAAAATCTTTCTACTCTAGCCTGCAATAAGTAGCTATATCTAGCCAGCATGGTGAGTGGAAAGAAGGGCAGTAATCACATGTGATGTGAGAAGAACATTTATGGCTGTCTCACTAAAAAGACAAAAGCAAATTCTTTACTGTAATAGATATTTCTGCTATATAATCATTTATTATATTTACTATTTGAGAAATGAACAAAAGACTTACAGGAATGTTATCCTTATCATACTCTTTCAAATCTCTTAGGAAATTCATGTCACCCAAAAGTTTTTTGCTGGGCCCCCAGTAGTCTAAAATCTATGAAGCAAAGTTAAGAAGTAATTAAAATATTTTTAAACAAAGGAAAGTGAGAGCATGGAGAAAATTGTCTAATAAAGACAGTTATACACAGAGGATCACAAAATTTAAAGAGAGAATATACAGAGAATGAAATAATTGTCTCTGTCTGGGCACTGCATATGTCATACTTAACAATCCACCATGAATGTTCTGGTTTAAAAACTGGTTTTCTTCAAAATAATTATAACTCTATGCCACAAAATCAGTGAAGCAGCAAATTAATTTTTTGAAAATGAGATCATTAGCATAGGCAATGTTCCCTACAATGACCTACAATACTGCACTAAGATTGCCAAGACAAATTACGTTATCACACTAGGAACTGCCCTTACACTGAAGGTAGGCTTCAGTTTAAAATCAAAATACATATTCAGACTATGGAGCAAAGGCAGCACCTTCACTATACTCAGGGCCCACAGATCTTGGTGGGCAAAAACCTAGTGGTTCACTCTGCACATCACCTCCGAAAAGAATTCCTGGCATGTACATGGTCCATTGTGACCCCAGAAGTGGTTCCTGAGATGTCCTGTGACCACTCCTACTCTAAATGACAGATGGTATACAACAAGGGGGAAAACTGTATTTGAAAAAAGAAAACAACAACAACTATTTATACAAGTTGCAGCTGCTAAGACAACAATTATCTTACCTCCCAGGGAGGTTTTGTACAAATTTGTTACTGTTTTTTTCTATGCAGAATAATGCTTTTTAAAGCATCCAGGGAAGCAACAGTTTAATCCATTTTTACCATCTCCCACAAAATGATGGGTGCTCAAATTACCTTAATGAGGAATTATACAGAATGTGACTCTGTCATCCTTAAAATACAGCCTGTCTAATTAGGATGAGCTTTGCAGTTAGAAGTGTCTACTGTAGTTTTATTCTTAGCTCTTTTACCTTGCCTCCAATTCCTGAAGGGTCTGCAACTTTTTCTGGTTTTATATCCTTCATGACACAGATGGCAGCCATAACAAGTTTAACACCTGAAGGTGGATTCTTCATTGATTTTACAATTGTAATATCTGCAGGCTAAAATAATATATATTTAACTTAAAGTATATAACACTCCCCAAAAATGTTACAGATTAAAACAAAGGTTCATATTTTAAGAGAGAATGACTATAAACAGACCACAAAGGATTCATAGCAAATTCAGTTTTGAATGCATATCTAGCATTTATGTAACAGAAACAAAGAACAACTCAAATTATAGTGGTTGGAAACTGTAAGAAATTGATAGTCCAATGAATTTCATTTATACTATAGTTCTGGCGAGAAAATATAAGCAGAGGACACTAACCAAACCCCTCACAGATTATGCCTCTGCATTGCTGATATAGTAAAGAAGAATCTTGTAGACATATTGGCCAAACCTCTGTTATTAGGATAATCAATCACATTAGAGTAGGATCATTGAATCAATGAGGATTTGTCGAATCACCTCTTCTGGAACTCCCATTGATTCAAATGGGCCTACTCTAACCATAACTTACTTTAGCAAAGTAAGTCACAGTTAGGGTAGGCACATTTGAATCAACTGAACATATGGAGGAGCAACTCACTAAATTCCCATTTATTCAACTGGACTACTCTAGTGTATTTACCACACTAAGCAACAGGATTTTGGCCATTATTTTTTAAGTGGGATGAAGGAGGGACATATTAAACATGAACATTTTTCCTAGAGTAAAATTGATGTCTAGACATACATGCTCTCACACACAAGACAACTAAATAGAGACTTCCAGGAGGGCAGTGAACTGTTAAAAATACATACTATTGGAATGGTTAGGACAAGGAGGAGGCAGGAAGAGGTTAAATACAATATTCCCATCTTTTCTTTTCCACTATGTTCTTTTTAAGATCATTCCATTGGAACTAAAGGCAAGCGACAAATTACATTGATGTGCCACAGGAATCTACTTTTATATTAGATTGATGTATTCATCTGTCCAGTGCCTGCTCTGATTGGCAGTGGCTTTCTCCACTGTGTCAAGCAGAAGCCTTTTCCATTACCTGCAGCCTAATAGTTCATTAGAAAGGTCACCAGTCGAATTCAGGATCTCACTGTTGCTGAGCAATGGGGAGCCTCCTTTTTGACCAAACGAAAAGACGCCATTTCAGCTCTCTTTCACATACTGTTATACTACTTATTTAACTTGCCTTCAGAGTGTCAAGTGCGGACAGTGCTGCCTCCAAGGCCGGAATTGCCTCTGCAAGGTCACTCTCACATTCATTCTTCAGTGCTTGGGCTTCTGCTGCTTTTTCTGTAGCAAGCTCTTCATCTATTTTTACAGTTTTGCTTTTTGCTTCAACTTCTGCAGACTCTTTCTCTATAACCTGAGGAAGGAATAAAAGTATGTTATGAAATACCACCAGGTCTATACATTCCAAAAAGTAAAAGTTTTTGAAGAGATATGAGAGATATGTTGGCAGTCCAGAGCAGAGGTTTATACAAAATTCTGAGCCATACATCCACTCAGCTGACATAATGTAATTGGAAATAATTTATATACCTTCTACAGACAGTTTCAAATGTGCTCTTGGTAAAAACCAACCAACAAACAAATATCCTTATGGGAACGTACACAGGAATAAGCAGATAAGAAATCATATGGAAATGTCAGCAATACTTGCTGCTCTTGCTCCCAAAATGAAGGCTTGGTTATATTTTTGTGTGTGTGTGTGTGTGTGTGTGTGTGTGTGTGTGTGTGTGTGCAGGCGTGCATGTGTGGAAGTGCACGGGTACACAGATTCAGCAGGACCATAGGAGAGGAATGGTTTTTTTAATAAATGCAAATCAGTTGCCCTTCTTACAATTAATTATTATTAATAACAATAATTGCCTGCTGTCAAGTCAATTCTGGCTTGCAGTGATTCTTTTCAGAGTTTTCTATACAGGGAGTACTCAGAAGTGGTTTAACATTCTCTTCTTCTGGGGGCACCCTGGAGTTGTGCAGCGTTGCCCAAGGCCACACAAGATGGCTCCCCTGGGATGCACAGTGGGCAACTGACCTCTCAGCCAAATACCTAACTCACTGAGCTATCCGGCTAGCAAACTGCCTCCTTGCAGACACCATAACACTATAAGCAAGACACAAGAGATCTAGATGGGTGACTGCCCTCCATTTGCACTTCAGCCACACTACCGGAAAGGAACCCATGGTAGTGGATTTTGGAGGTGCCTGCCTATCCATCCAAGTTCCTTGAATTCCTCATTATACAGGGGAAAAGAGATACATTCAACAAGACATTAACAAAAAACTAATAAGCAGGTGTAATACATGCACCCGTGTACATACAGAGTTTCAGTTTGCTTCTCAGAACAGCTGTAAGATTTGAGGAAGGTGTGAAACCCCATTCACAAATGACCTGAGGCATGCTGGAAAGCCATTATTGTGAGTAACAGTAAATGTCTGTGTCAACTGTAATTGACAGTTTTACTATGTTAACTGTAAAACAAAAGCATTTTTGAAAGAAATATTGTGAAAGATTAGCTTAAAATAAAAAAATGGGGACAGGGGGACATTAATTATTAGTTAGCAAATAAAATGGTTCTTATTGGGACTGCAAATAACTTGAAGCAAGATTGAATTTTCATCACTTATCTTTTAACTGATGTCCAGGGTGGCACAGCATATCATCTTGAACTATTACTCTTATAATCCCTTACCACCGGCCACACAAACTTTGGCTGCTGGGAGCTCCAGTCCAAGAATTAGTTAGAGAGCTGTAGTTGCTCATCCCCCTCCATATACTAGCAAACTTCAATAACTATACACATTTTTCTGATCAGAAATTGTACCTTCATCATATTTGCATTGTCAACTTTAGCCTGCTCCAGTTTAGGCTGTAGATTAACCAGTTCTTTCTTCATTTCACCAACCTACAACCAACAGTATAAGTAACAAGCTGCTTACAGTATAGTAGACTTGAAAAAGAAAAATCAAACATTTATTCATAACGTTGCAGTTGCACTCCTGTAGGAAAGACACCCACGTGAATAGAACAAGACTAATAGCTGAGTAGAAATTCCAGACTGTGATGTTAGTCAAATATCATACAAATATTCACTTACATTTTAATTAATTATATTCACTGAAAGAAACTTATAATATCATTGAGAAGATCCCAGTATTATGGTGATGGCCTCCATCCAAAACATGTTCTTCATCTGTCTGCATTACAAGGTGGCATGTAAGGAGATCATCATCCCACAGACCAAAAAAAATTCCTGGCTTGTTCAGAAAAAAACAACTTGAATTTCTTCTTTCTGATATAGACCTTACAATCATGTATGAAGTAGCCAGTTTTTTGTATGAATATACTTGGGTCTCAGAAATCGTATGGTAACTACCATGTTTCCCCGAAAATAAGACACGGTCTTATATTAACGTTTGCTCCAAAAACGCATTAGGGCTTATTTTCAGGGATATTTTATTTTTTCATGTACAACAATCTACATTTATTCAGATACAGTCATGTCATCTTCTTCTGGTTGCTGCAGAGTGGTGGAGAGCTGGGTTTCACTTAACTGGGGCTTGCTTTTTGGGGGGGGGTAGGGCTTATATTACGAGCATCCTGAAAAATCATAGTAGGGCTTATTTTCAGGTTAGATCTTATTTTTGGGGAAACAGGGTAGATACTAGATTTTGAATTGTCTTTTAATGCCAAATGTTTTTATGAAATACTCTGGAATTTTGGAAATTTGTAAAGTCTTATTGGTCGAAGAACGGTAACAATAAACTGACTGATAGACTGAAAGAAACTTATAATATTATTGACAAGACTGTAATTTGCAGTTGAACATAAAGTACAGCAAATAATATTTAAAACAAGGTGAAAAATCTGGGCTAATTGTTATTATTTAAAGTACTAGAGAAAATTGGTAAGCAGTGCTCACAAAGCAAAACTACTGCTCAACCTTTATAATTGATAGGGTAGCCATCTTAGCTATTCCAGCAAAATCATAGAATAATTTTTGTAATATCTCACATATTGCAAATTAACACAATTATTAACTCACTCTCTAATTAGAAATGGCTAAACTAAGGGGTTCAACTCTATCTGATATGATATGATAGCTCAAAATCATAGAATAATTTTTGTAATATCTCACATATTGCAAATTCACACAATTATTAACTCACTCTCTAATTAAAAATGGCTACACTAAGGGGTTCAACTCTATCTGATATGATAGCACTTTTCAAATATTTGAAAGGCTGTCATACAGAGGAGGGGTAGGATCTGGTCTCGATCATCCCAGTGTTCAGGACCCGCAACAATGGGCTTAAGTTAACGGAAGCCAGATTTCAGTTGAATATCAGGAAAATCTTCCTAACTGTTAGAGCAGTGCAACAGTGGAATCAGTTACCTTGGGAGTGGGTGAGTGCTCCAACACTGGAGGCATTCAAAAAAAACTTAGATAATCACCTGGCAGACATGCTTTTATTGTATTCCTGCACTGAGCAGGGGGTTGGACTTGAGGGCCTTGTTGACCCCTTTCAACTTCAGTTTTCTATGATTTCTACGATCTCCCATGGCCTGAATATGAACAAAGACTTTCAAAGCACATTATTTGTTGTTGTTGTTACTTGCTTTCAAGTCGGAACTGACTTATAGCAACCCTAACAGGGTTTTCAATGTAAGTAAGATATTTGGAGGGGTGATTTACCAGTTCCACTCTCCCAGTGAGTTTTGAAGGCTGAGTGGGGATTTGAGCCCTGCTCTCCAGAGCCCTAGTCTATCTCTCTGTCTACTACATGAGTTAGTTCACCAATGCAAGAATGGCTTTGATGACTCCACAAATATTTTTGAATGGTCATTGTTAATGTAATTATCACTGTCTGTACTTTCTGAATTTCAGTTCCTTCTTGACCTCACTATTTACAGTTTCTGTACGCTTCAGCCATATGTATATAATGCTATTGAGTTAGGATAGTATTTTACATAAGTGGACTCTATCTACAAAGGCTTATACCATAATAAATTTGTTAGTCTGTAAGACTCCACAAGACTTTAAATTGATTTTACAGCTGCCTTACCTGAGATTCAGCAAATGCTAATTTGTCTAAGCCATTGGTGTATCTTCTTTTTGCCTTCATGATAGCATCTCGTTTCTGGGTCAAAAGTTGTTGAAAGGAAGCAATGAGTTCAAGGTAGGAAGTAGGAGTAACATAGTTATGTCGTCCTAACTCATGCAAAAACCTATGGCATAAGAAAATAAGGTTTCATTCCAAATGGAACTCAAGAAGGATCTATTAGTTTGGATATTACAGTTATCAGACAATGATTGATGGATTGTCACACAAAGACATAATCTGGAAAAGCCCCAAATTTAGTAGTTATTAATAATAATAATCACATGCCCTTAAATCAATTTTTTCATGGTTTTCTAGGTAGAAGGTGCTCGGAAGAGGTTCACCATTCCCTTCCTCTGGGGGCACTGAGGTGATCTGCAGCTTGCCAAGGCCATACAGGCTGGCTCTTCTCCTGGGAATCAAACAGCGGGCATTTGAATTCCTAGCCAGAAATCTAACTCTCCAAGCTAACCTGCTTGATTAACATAAAGTATCTAGTTTCAGGGGCTATTTATGATGGCATGGATCTGATGGCAGGTCCTTGTCAATTACCAAATAACAATGCTGAGCTCTTGTAAAGTGTGATGAGAGTGGAGGATAATATGAAGCAAAAAGGGGAGTGTGGTAAGATTACCAACTATTTTAATCCCAATGTTTGTTCTATTCTTGAACTGGCCATCTGTCCCAACATTGGCATGTGATAAGGAATACAAATTGTGACTTGTTAAATAGAGGCAATTTGCCACTGCATTTGATGCCATTGCTCTAGGTAATGTGTTCACTGTCTGTATTTCCTGATTGCATGAATTCTATTTGCCCTGCAGGTGAAAATGTACCAATACTGTATTGGTCGGTGTCTATATGATTTCAGCAACAGGTCAGACATGTGTGTGTGTGAGACAGAGAGAGACGGACAGAAAGAAAAATAAATAAATTAATGAAATGGCATGAGTGGAAGGTTCTCTCTCTCTCACTCACACACACACAGACAGAGGGTAGATACTATCTGTGCATCTCTCATATATTAATATTCAGTCTAGTTTTGAGCTACAGATGAATTTGCTAGTTACAACTTATTTATCCTATGTACATTCTGTGAGTATAAACAAGACAAGACGAGGAGGCTATAGTCTGTGTTCTGACAATAGTTTGGAGAATAATTTTCCTCATCTTTACTAAATTTTACAACACGGTTCATTTCTTTAACAAGAAACACAAATACTGTTTCCCTTTTTCCATATTATTACTGTATTTAAATTTATGTATTTATATTAATCAACATCACAAATTATATAGAAAGATAACCTTTCAGAAAGTGACAACACAGACGTATGGAAGTGTTTACAGATAGGAACAACTTCTTGACGTTCATTTTCCGTGAGTTCAAGCTTTTCCAAGAACTTAACAGCAACGCGTTCAAGAGCATCTTCAGGCCATGGCTGAGAACATAAGAATATCCATTGTAATTGTGTTGACTGTTTCAGTATTAAACACTGCATAATTTTTGAGTTTCCTCATTGGCTGTTCTTCATGAAATCACCTTCCAATTCAAATTCTACTTTTGATTTGCACTTCACATCATGAGAGGCTCCTAATTTAGTACAGCATAGTGCAACCAATTATCCCCCAACGTTTAATAATAGACAGTGCTTCTGAGAAAGCCAGTTCCTTCAATACTTTTGGGTGCGGTTCATTGAACCACAGAGATTTTAGCTTGTTCAAAGTTGTTGCTGCGCTACACCGGAGTGCATTCCAATAAAATCAAAAATGTACAAACATGCAATACATTTAACCACAACCTTAATATTGTGTGTGTGTGTGTGTGTGTGTGTGTGTGTGAGAGAGAGAGAGAGAGAGAGAGAGAGAGAGAGAACCTGTACATCAACCTAAAACTTCTCAAAATAAGCAATGATCAAAAAACAATTAAATAACTGCTAAAAAAGAGCTAAAAAGTTCAAACCAAAAAAACTGGCCACCCACTTCTCCCTTCACCAACTATTCACCAACTACAGTGGTTAATCCGTCCTGGATTAACCCTCGCTGTGTGAAACATCGCTGAGCGGTAAGAAAAAAGCCATTGGAATGCATTAAACTTAGTTTAATGCGTTCCAATTGGCTGATTTACTCACCGTTCAGCGATGTTTTTCAATGGCCGGCAGCCATTTTCGCGCCCTCCCCTCGCTTAAAGAGGGCGTGAAAACGCTGCGCGTGGCCATTTTGGGGCTTCCAGCGGCCATTTTGTTGCCGCGGAACAGCTGATCGGCGGGGCGCAAAGTGAAGGTCGGGAAGCGAACCGCTTACCAACCTTCGCTCTGCAATTTTCGCCCATTGGGGCCGTCGCTGTGCAATCACATTAGCGATTGAAAAAGCGTCACCGTAGAGCGAATTCATCGCTCTACAGTGCGCTCGTTCTGCGAGGCACCACTGTATTTGTTTATTAATCCCAAACTCCAATCCTGCCCCCATTCTTTGTATTTCACACATTTGCCTGGTGGGTCATAGACTGGGAGAAAACCAAGCTAAAATAGCATTTCTGCCTTTTCTTTGTTCTCTGTTATCATTTTCCCATCCCCACTGAATTAGCTGAGCCTCTATTTCTTTTCTATGTATTTTGGTATGCACATATCTGAAGAATGTTTCTTTCTGCCTTTTAGTGTCTCTTGCTAACCTCAGCTCATTCTCAGCTTTTGCCTTCTTAAGGCCATCTCTGTAATTCTGTGCTAATATGTCCATACTCTTCCTTTGTGGCCTGCATTTCCTTCCACTTTCTAGATGTGTCCTTTTTTGTTTTCAAGTCCACTCTGAGCTTTTGGTGATGCCAAACTATTGTGTGAGTGAGCTTTTTTCTTTCTTTCTTTTTTCTTTCCTCCCTTTTCTTCCACCTTTGATTCTTAATGGAACTGTTTATCATTAGGCCTTTAGAATTTCCTTTTAAAGAAACTCCCACACATCTTGGACTCCTTTTCTTATTAGGATCTCCTGTCATGGGATGTACTTACCATTGTTATGATTTTTTGAAATCAAGTACTCAAATAGAACATGGTTACTTTCCCCTAGAATTCTCTTTATTGCTCCTTCTTCCATCAAGTCATCACTATTCATTAGAATCAAGTCCAGGGTAACTATTCCTTTAGTTTCTTCCTTCACATTTTGTAGGAGAAAACTATCAGGCATAGGAGTCAGGAATGTCTTGCAAGGACCATGTTTGGCACAATTTGCCTCCCAACAGATATCAGGATATGTCTCTTTGAAATCATTGCAATTTGTTTTTCAGAGGTTTCATCCTCACCCTCTCTCTTGATTAGGTGGTTGGCAGTAGACCCCAACTATTATGTTCCTTTTATTCTTAACCCCATTTATATTAATCCAGATGCTCTTCATGAGACAACCAAGCTTATCCTCTGGTATTTCTGTACAAGAATATGTATTTTTGACATATAGTGTGACTCTGTCTCCCTCTCTGTTTTTTTCTGTTCCTTTTGAACAATTCCTTTGATTGTTGGATTCCAGTCATGGGAATCATCTTGCCAAATTTCAGTTATTCCTGTCAAGTTGTATTTACTCTCCTGAACTAAGATATTCAGTTATTTTTGTTTGTTTTCCAATCTGATGGCATTTGTATATAGACATCAAAGATTGTGTGGTTTGTGGCCTGCTTTCCCTTGTACATTTTTATGAAAGGCTGGGATCCTACCCCAAAGGGCTTATACAATTCAAAGCAGAGGTGGGTGAAGGAAGTGAAAGAAAGACAAATAGGGAATAATTTATATGCTATTTTGGTGATTTTAAGTTACAAGTATGTTTACATGTAGCAGCAATACAATATGGTAAATAAAATATCATGCCAAAACTTCATAGAAAAGGGAGAATTTTAAGTAAGAGCTTAATGCTACCAGTTAAAAACGTTAAACAGTCTGCCTAGTAAGTGCACAATCCTGGAAATAAACAGTTTATTATCCCTGCGATTCTCTATGACATTCAGAAAGGAGAAATGGGTGGAAAACATTATATGCAATCTATAAGCATGCCCTAATTCCATATATCATCACATGGCAACAAGATACCACATCACCTATTTCATGACACATCATAGTTTTACCAGTCAGTGCGTGGTTGCTCTTCCCCTCGCACGGTGACATACAAGTATGCGACTATGAAAATTCAAGGTTAAGAGGAAGGTGTGTGTGTGTGTGTGTGTGTGTGTGTGTGTGTGTGTGTGTGTGTGTGTGTGTGTGTGTAACAAACCAGATTATGTATTTATATGAGTTTCCACTGATGAGTTCCTAAACAACAGATATCCATGCAACATTAATAGTTAGGTGGCTTTCTAGGAAGGGGACAATTTTTAATATATACATTTGAAGGAAAAAGTACTCTGAATAAAAGAAATAAAGATGAAATTTATAGGTGGGACTATATGGCAGTTAATAAATGTACCGAGTCATCAGTATAAATTCTCTTACAAACCTGGAACCAGTCAATAGTACAGCAGTTGATGAGAGATGGGAACTGTCGCAGACGGTTGCGAAAAGCATCTCCAATTGGACTGAAAGCTACCACAACATGGAGATTGTCTTTGCAGCGATTCACAAAGAAAGCATATAAGGCCAAGGGACCGAGTTCTTCATGTTTACTGCCTGCCTGGGCTACTGCACGGACACCCTAGAAGACAAACAACTAACATTTTACATACATTCTAAAATGTGGTGTGTGTGGTGTCAAGTCCATTTTGATTTATAGTTATTATTTTCAAGGTTTCCTAAGTAAAGCATATTCAGAAGTGGTTTACCATTCCCTTCTTCTGGGACTGTGCAGCTTTCCCAAGGCCACACAGGCTAGCTCTTCTAGGGAAGCAATGGGCACTTGAACGCCCAACCTCTACTATGCAATAATGGGATTGAAAAAAATATATATACTATGTATAGGATGACAAAAATGACAGTGTATGTCTCATTCAGAGGTTATTACCAGCATTCACTGTTCAAATTTAAAGTTTGAAAAATGTGCATGAATTATACAATTTTAAGTGCTTAATCATTAAATAATTAATATACTAATAAGACTCAATTAATAAAGTTAATAAACTATTATGAATACAGTATTATTTTAATGTGTTTATGGAAATGTTTTAAAATGTTTTTATCTGTTAGTTCTAATGACGTAAGACACCTTGGGTCTTTTTTAAGGAGAAAGGAGGGCTAAAATATTTCAAATAAGTCCAATCAATAAATAAGTTAACCTGTTTCATATTTGAATAATTAATTGTTTTTAGCTCTTAATATTTGTTTTAATATTGTAAGCTGCCTAGAGTCCTCTTGAAGACAGAGGCATGGCATAAATATTTTAACTAATTACTTAAATAAACAAGCTACTCATGCTAGAAAATTTAAAAAAATCTATATAGATAAATCAAGTAATAAACTCTATTACTAACAAGAGCACAGCATTCCATAGATCTATGCCTGAATAACCATCAAATGATCAGTAGGATAGGGAAAAATATTCAAAGACTGCTCTATCAAAGCTCAGAACTGCTTCTTCATATATATTACATACCATTAGCTCAGGAGTCAGGGCCATAAATAATCAATAATAACAAATATATATTTAAAATACAGTGGTACCTCGACTTGCAAACTTAATCTGTATTGGAATTAAGTTCGCACGTTGAAAAGTTTGTAAGTCGCATAAAACTTTCCCATTAGAATGCATTGAAAACCATTTAATCCATATGCTGTTTTCCGTTAGTATGTCGAGGCGCCTATTAGTTCCCATAGGAACTAATGCAAAGCCGGTTAATCCGTACTCTACCACTAGGGAGTGATTTGTTTTTTTTTTTTAATTTCTTCTTTTGACCTAAGGTGAACTTAGGTCAAAAAATGGCAGAAAAGTTTTTTCTTTTTTTCCCCCGGTTCGTAAGTCGAGGCTCCGTTCACAGGTTCCCCGGTTCATAAGTCGAGGCTCCGTTCACAGGTTGAGGTGACTTTTTGTGAATGGAGCCATTCGTAACTCGAATTGTTCGCAAGTAGGGACGTCTGCAAGTCGAGGTATCACTGTATTAATTTTCTTTTCATACACTTTTTAATTGCCATGGTAAACATTTTAAACACTAGAACAGGTCAGCAAAGTAAAAAAAAAGTGATCTGGGCTTTTATCACTACTTTTGTTTTGACAACCCGTCTCCTATTCTAAGACATCAGTGGTGCCCTTTACTGTCCATTACTATTTATCATTTATTCTGTATCATCTTTATTATCCACCACTACCTATCGTTTTATCCCCATTCTTTCATTCTAAACCTTCAAATTTTCCATGCCCCATCCTGCCTTCCCTTCTGTCTCTCTCTCCTCTTTGCTAGACAGTCATGAAGCCTTGCTGTATCTCATGTGGTTCATGTTTGCAGGTGCTGCAGCGTCCATGCATCTCAGTCCAACTTCAGCAGTGGTGGGGCCAAGAGGCTGCCATTTCCTTTCCCCAAATGTCTTGAGCATCTGAACAGACCCTATTATAGCCCTGATAAATCCTGTATCATTTTTTGGGTTGGGCAGATGGTCAGGCAAGATGGCAGGTTTGCTTGCCATCTTGTTAAATTAAATTCATTAAGAATTTTCTGTAAAGGATACCTCCATAACTTCTTGTTTCTCATCAGCTGCAAAAAGGTTGGGGACTTCTCCAGTGTTAAGCACGCTATCAATGTCTTCCAAAAATCCTTCATCTTTAATCTGTGTGTCTGTGATTAGAAACACAGTTTTCAAGCCCTTCATGCCTGCGCTTCTGAAAAGAGTCTGAAAGCAATAAAAAAAAAAATGTGTTTCAGTGCACAGTCAAAGGAAGGCTCATTACTAAATATTACTCCTACATATGCATTTAAAATGCTAGCACCTCCAACTCTCTTAAAAGATTCCATCCTTAAATCTCTTTTAAATATATGATTACACCTTCACTATGAAAGAATTCGCAACACAGAAAAAAAATCATCTAAAGACATTTATTTGTTCCACAACTATAAATGGCACTTCAGCACACACATTCATATGCATGCATACACACAACTACAGAAAAATATGTTTCTCAGTTGCATTTCAGAGGGCAGACTGACCTTTATATCTTCCCTCCACTCATTCATTCCATAGCTCTTTGAGATTTCTGGCTGGAAAATATTCATTTTTGCCATGGATGTAGCCAAACGAGTCAAGGATTGGCGCCCACTTCCTCCCATTCCAACAAGTAAGGCATTACCTCCCGACTGCTTGAGCACACGACATATGCGAGATAAATGTTCCAGTACATACCTGTCACAAATATATATACTGTATATAGTTATGAATACAAATTAAAATCATATTTATGTTGTGTTTTCCCACCTTCGCACTACAGTATATCCATCCATAAAACAGCTGATTGTATTTTATGCCATTTCTACTATATTGACCTTTAACAAGCGGGCAAATAAACAAGTAGGAAGATGTCTGTTTGCCTTTGTTAAACTCGAGTGAGAATGGAATACTGTACGTTCACTGTCAAAGTCTATTCTGGGAAGATGCAAGCAGGAACCAACTCATGATAGGTTACGTCCTTCACTCAAAGTGGAGTAGGAGTCACAGGCTGCAATCCACTCTTTTCATTGACATTCCCTTAGTTCTCTACTTTAAGTTTTGTCATGTAGTTTTCTTTTATCCAGATATTTTGACAGTAAGCCACCCAGAGTAGTGGTCTGGCCACTAGATGAGTGGGGTAAAAATTGAAATAAAATGAAATGAAACAAACAAACAAACAAACATAGTCAGGCAATGGAAAAAGCCAGCATCCAATGAAATGACTATCAACATTATAATGCAAAGCATCTCCTGGAAAAAAATGCAAGATGCTCTGCTCCCCAGTTCTAGGCTCAAACTACACCCTCTACAATTATTCAGAACAAGGGCATTTACTACAGGTTACGTGCAAACAGGCAAAAATTGCTTGCAACACACACCCTGTTTTAATAAGTACTAATGGGAGGAAATGGATTTCTAAGGGGAGCTGAAGTGGGATAGAGGGAGGATAACTGCTAGCTCATTTGCCACATGTTTTTCTCTGAGACATTTATCTTGCCCAATACAGGTGCGTTGGAGCCTTGACCTCTGGGGCTATGAACGTCTCTACCTGTGAACCTTTCTACCTGCAGGAATGGCATGCACGTTGCAGGAGGGAATTCCTGACTTAAACACTCTTGCAGATGTTTGCAGTTCATTCCCCTCCCTCTTGAGTTTGGGACCCTTGAGGAACAGTTCCCGGCAAGGCATTGCTTGGCCTGTTTTGTTTTCATCTGGTTGTGCCATGCAGTCTGAGGGTGCTCCCTTTGCCTGCCATCACCCCCACCTTCCACTTTGTAAGAACTGCAGTAGACAAGTGTGGAGTTGGTGCCATTTTCAAGTTGCAGTAGGGCCTGGCACCATATGCAGTGTTGCTGTGAATTCCACCCAGTTTTACCGAAATGTGTAGTTTCACCTCTACTTTCTTATAGCGCAGATGAGGACTTTTATACCATAAAGGACAGCGACAACTATCACCAAATTCTACAAGCAGCTGTGATAACAGATTTGTATAAATATGCTGCTGTCAAATTTCAGTCACAGAGTTGGGTGTGGCAACAAATTAACAGCAATGTAATTTAATTGTTACAATTTTCTTATTTTTCTTATGTTTTTATGTTGTAAGCCGCCTAGAGTGTTTGAAACGACCAGATAGGCAGGGTATAAATAAATGAATGAATGAATGAATGAATGAATGAATGAATGAATGAATGAATGAATGAATGAATGAATGAATAAATAAATAAATAAATAAATAAATAAATAAAGGTAGTCCCTGGTACATTCAGAGGCATTCAACACTGCCCTCCAACCCTGGGAAACTGTCCACCCTCGAAGTAGCAAAAAAATAATAATAAACTAATTGAAAATTTGTGGCTCTTTCAAGCCACCCAAAATCAGGGGTCCGAGGCAACCATCTCATGCCTGCCTAACAGAAAAAGTGCTTTCATTGTTCTGTATTGATGGGCCTATATTGACAAGGAGAATACTGTAATCACAGAATAATCTGACCATAACCTCAGGCAAAGAAAATGCATCCTTCTATATGTATTTATGGGAACTACAACTGAACATTTTCTCAGAACAGATATCAATAGAAAGTAAAACACTGTAATATCCACAAGACTGATGGAGAAACATTGTGGTTCTGGAGTAATGTGAGAGAAGACTGCCTTATTAGTAAATGGCTGTTACAAAATTTCATAGGCTGATCATGTTTTTAATTTAAAGCTGATTAATGTTTTGTGTTTTAACTTCTATTCTGTCTTGCTTGTACTTGTCAGATCTTAAAGAATAAGCAGATACATATACCTATTGGAGGTGCAATGTTAAGAAGTCTGTTTTTAGTGTCTTACATTTAGCTTTTGTTTCCTTTACTTCCTAGAACATACTTTAGAATACATGATAAAATATATTCCAGCTAATGGCTAATAAAAATAGTTAGGCAGCTGCCAGGATCAGCTCAATCAGGCTTTTGGGTGAAACAATCCTTGGGATAAACAACCTTCAATGCCATTATTCTAATAGGAATAAACTACAGAAGCCGTTAAAAGATAGCATCGCCAAAATACTAGTGAAATAAGTATAAAGACAATTTATATACCTAAAAATGACCAGGTTCATTCTTGTTTTGTGTGTTTGGTTATATTCATCCAAACACAGATCCACAACATCACTGAACATTTGTATATTTGGAATTTCAAAATAAATTCTTTCATCTCCTTCAAGATCAGGATTCATGTAGTCTCCAAACAGCAGATTTCTCATATCTTCTTCAGTTACCTTTCATCAGAAAATAAATAGCCTATTTGTTGTTAAGGCAGCAAAAATAAAGTCATGAGAACACCTTTCAAGAATAACAACAATGGCCCAATGAATTTTCATGGTTTACACTTTTGGGAACACACCACATTATTAAAGAGCTCTATTTCTCACAGCAAAATGTTAAATGGGAGTATTTGCTGAAACACAGTCACAGGCAAGAGACAGCCCAGCCTCTCTCTTTCATAGGCATGATTCTGATCTGTTTCTACATTTCAAGTTACACTACGGGAATATAATGACATGCCCCCTTTCCCACAGATACTGCTCTTCCACAGTAAAGACAATATGAAATGAAAAATAACCTTGCATACTGTCCAGGACTTCATTGTGCACGTCACCCAATACATTCAATCCATAACTGAGATAAGGGGTGTAGCGTTCCCCTTTATTATGTCAATGGTTCATGTTTTGTTATGTTAATTGTTTATGCATATTCATGTTGCTGAGAGGCGGAGCCCAGAGAGATGTGACAAGAGGCGGAGCCTGAGAAGGCATTCAGAGTGTGAGTGAGAAGTCAGTCAGAGTCAGAGAGCGTATGAGTAGAGTGAGAAAGTGGAGAAGGGAATAGAGTGCGGAGTTTGGGGAAATCTGAGAGGTGATTAGAGTTAGGAGTGTATTATCAGATAGAAGATTGTTGTTAATAATAAATTTACTTAAAGAAGATATCCATGAATCACGATCAATAACTAATCAATAAACAAAGTTACAGTGGTGCCTCGCTTAGCGAGTGCTTCGCTATGCGATGAATTCACATAGCGAGGGGGTACGGGTCATCGCTGAGGCGTTCGCTCAGCGATGGCCCCTATAGCATTTTTTCGCTTTGCGATGATCGCTAAGCAATTCGCTTAGCGATTTTCGCAGAACGAAGCGGGAAGAACAGCTGATTGGCGGTTCTAAAATGGCTGCCGGAAGGTCCGCACCGCATTTTCGCGCCCTGCCCTTGCTTACCGAGGGCGCGAAAATGGCGGCGCTATGGAAAAACATCGCTTAACGGTGAGTTTTAAAGCCATAGGAACACATTGAACAAAGTTCAGTGCGTTTCTATGGCTTTTTTATTCCCGTTTAGCGATGTTTTCGCATAGCGAAGGTTAATCCGGAACGGATTAACCTCCCTATGCGAGGCACCACTGTATATTTAAAAGACTCTGAAGTGTGGACCTAAATCTTCATCTTCCTGAAGTAATGGTGATTTAGTGATCACCTGGTGGCAGCAGTGTAAAAGAGGGGATTGTTTGCCTTCATGTGGTCTGAGTCTTGATGGTCAAGCAAGGGGCATGAGGTGTGAATGCCACAAGGCGTAACTCCTTTTCCTCTCCATTCTTTCCCAATGCACTAGATGGATTAATCATGAAGTGTGGGAACCTCTTCTGGTCATTTAAGGTTTTAGAAGCAACCAGGGTGGTTAAATAAAGAGAGAACTGATTATACCCTGTTTCCCTGAAAATAAGAACTATTCCAAAAATAAGCCCCAGTTAAGTGAAACCCTGCTCTCCATTGTGTAGCAACCAGAAGAAGATGACATGACTGTATTTGAATAAATGTAGATTGTTGTACATGAAAAAAAAATCCTCTGAAAATAAGCCCTAATGCGTGGTGGTTTTTTTTTTTGAGAGCAAAAAATAATATAAGACCCTGTCTTATTTTCCAGGAAACACGGTATGTAGAAAACTGCCAAGGAACGGAGACAGTATTATCAACAGTAATCCTTATGCTATTGGAATGGCAACCAGAAATCTTACTGGCAGAGACAGAAGATGGAAAAAGAAGGCACTTGCTATTATGTCATCTTCACATCCATGATTAACACATTCCCACTGCCTGAAAGCGAAGTACAGCAGTGGGGAAATCCACAAAAAAGAACAATACTAAAAATTAAATAAAAATTAATGGATTTTTGCAGGAATAAAAATACACAGACGCTTTTGGGCCTTCATGGTAAATAAAATGCAACACTGTGTTTGTCCTTTGATGAATTCACCAAGTACCTTCTAGAAGCAACTTCCCAGAGGGTGGCCCAACACCCATGTGAGCTGCCCCACAGAGAGAAAGAGAGATGGCCTTGTAACACTGAATAATATGAACACTTACAGGTGCGTTTCCTTGTCTCAGGTGTGCAAACACTGAATCAAATGCTTCTTTGAAATGTTCTTTCACAATTTCTTTCATTAGCTTGAATAACCAAGCTCTATCAGTATCATCCACAAGGCGGTCATAAAATACTCGAAATACTTCATGCACAAAGAGCCGAACCATTGTATGCTTGTTTAGTACTGAATCCTTCTTAATAAGCAAACAGCCTAGGATAACTCGTGAAAAGTCACGCAGATTGAATGTATAATGGGATTTGGCGGGTGTTGGCAATAGATTTTCCATAGCTTTCTTATATACCTTGAAGATAGAAGAGAAATGAGCAAAACCAAAGTATTAACATTTAGGTTTTAAAGGATTTTGCACTCGTAAAGCATGTATCTGTTCTCTTAGCTCAGCACACTGAATTATTCCTTTTAAATGATATGATAAAATGAAGGTAGGCAGGAGAAATAGCTTTTAAGACTATGATATAAATCAGAAATACAAAATTAAACCACATTAGGAGGTATAAAAATATTAGTGGTAGTGATTCATATACTGTACAGTAGTGCCCTGCATGACAACAATAATCCGTTCCGGGAAAATCGCTGTTAAGTGAAATTGTCGTCATGGAAAAAGCCTTTCCGCATTGGAATGCATTGAAACCTATTTAATGCGTTCCAATGGGGAAATTACCTCGTTGTCCAGCGAAGATCGCCCATAGGGAAGCCATTTTCCGAGCGCCGATCAGCTGTTAAAATGGCTGCCCTGCGAAGCATGGGTCCGGAAAACACAGGGCAGCCATTTTAGGAACCTGACGATCAGCTGTAAAGATCATCGTCTTGTGAATAAACGGTCCGCGAAGCTCGGACCAAATCGTCATCAAGCAGAATTCCCCGATAGGAATGACTGTTTTGCGAATCCCTATAGCGATCGCAAAAAGTCATCATCATGCGGTTTCGTTGTACAGCAGGGTCATCATCTAGCGAGGTACCACTGTATAAGTATACAAAAAATTTAAATATGTTTCCCACTTATTGCCTGGAATGAGTTGCAAACAAACAAACACACAGTGCTTGAATTACTCCCCAAATCTTTTACTTCAGAAGTTTTCTTATGTGCTTTTAAATCAGCTTCAAGTTTCCAAGGAGTGGAGACTATTTGAATTATCATGAAAATCATCTTTATTATCTATATGTGCAAGAATAACTGGAATAGAAATGTTGTGCATATATCTTACCTCCATAGTGCCACTAACAATTTGGTTTCCAATTGTGAAATATTCTGGAAGAAATTCATTTGCTCTGAGGTAGAAAGACACAACAGTAGAGAAAATCCGGACCATTGTTTCATCACTGAAGGTGTTAATGGTGCAAATATTGAAGTGTCTCAGAAAGCGAGGTGTAACTGGGTTTCTTCCACCACCTGGTGGACCCATGGCAGCCATTAACTGCACATCAACAAGTACAATTTTATTTGTGTCTTTTAAGTCATACCTTTAAAATAAATATGAGATTGATTTTCAGATAATTATAAACATAATATAGCAGAACTTGCATTTGGAAACATCTTAAATATAATTTCTTAAATTCTTACAAATATGTGTTTTGGTGACTATTTAAGATATACAGGTATTTTGAACATCAATAACCAAGAATCAATAAATTATGTATTATGTATTCTCAAAGGCTTTCATTACTGGGATCCAATGGTTGTTGTAGGTTTTTCGGGCTGTTTGGCCGTGTTCTGAAGGTTTTTCTTCCTTTTAGATAAGTCTAAAACTCAACAAAGCCTGGCTCACAGCACTGAAAAATACAGCCTGCAAAGAGTCAACAAACTCTACCCAGCCACAAGGCCTGGTGATCACTGCACACAAAAGACCAGCTAACAACACCCATCAATCACAGTGACAGATCATCTCTCCCCCTTATCATAACAATACACTCACAACAAAAAACACGCTGATCGCCATAATCACCCAATCTCCTGAAAAGGACAAAAAGCTAATCCCCCAGTTATAAATACTCAACTATCCAACAGACTGCACCAGAGCACAGACAGAGTTCTGACTCCTGTCCTCTGAAGATACCAGCCACAGAGACTGGCGAAACGTTAAGAAGAAAAACCTTCAGAACATGGCCAAACAGCCCAAAAAACCTACAAAAACCAAATTATGTTTTGTTCAATGTATACAAACATAGCTTTAAAAATGTATTATTGCTAAAAAGCTAACTGATTTTTACTTTTGATATTATGTGTGTCAATAAACTATCTTTAAAAATACAGGTGCAGAATTAATTATCTACTTCTTTATTATCTTAACGTGGTCTTCAATATTTACCAGATTCCATGGTCAAAAAACTGTCTTAAAAGTTCAATAGGCGGCTGAGCTCCATATTGCTCCAATGCAGGCATATTCATATCATCTACAAAGATGATACATTTCTTTCCCATTGGTGGTCCAAATATTCCTTTACGTCTTTTGTCCAGCCTTGCCATGATAATGTTCTAAAATACAAAAACGTTATCTTTCATATTTATGATTATTAGCTGATGCAAAATAACCTGTAGAACTCTCACACAACTTCTGCAACAAAGATGCTGGGTCCAAAACAGATTCATTTATTCTATTATTTATGTTGGCTAGATGTGTTTAATGTTTTATGACATATAACTGCCAGGGGGTCCATTTGTATAAAAGAGTGGAGAACAGAAAGAAATTATTTAAATAAATGTATATGCAGTGGTGCCTCGCTTAACGACATTAATTCGTTCCAGCTAAATAGCTGTAGAGCAAAAACATCGTAAAGCGAAAATAAAAAACCCATTGAAACGCATTAAAACCTGGTTAATGCATTCCAATGGGCTAAAAACTCACCGTCCAGCTAAGATCCTCCATACGGCAGCCATTTTCGGTGCCTGTATAGCGAGGAATCCGTCCCTGAGCACAGCAGGGAGTCATTTTGAACACCCCGTGGCCATTTTGAAAACCTGACGATCAGCTGTTTTGATCTTCGTAATGTGAAGAATCAGTTCCCGAAGCAGGGAACCGATCTTCGCAAAGTGAAAAAACCCAATTTAAAACATTGTTTCGCGATTGCAATTGCGATCACAAAAACATCGTCGTGAAGCAGATTTGTCGTAATGCGGGGTAATAGTTAAGTGGGGCACGACTGTAGTTTCCCTGAATATCCAGTGTGACATAATGGATGGAGTGACACACTAGGACTAAAGAGGCCTGGGTTCCAATCCCCACTCAGCCATGGAAATTCACTGGTAGTGTTGAACTGGTAAAGCCAGCCCTTAAATATCTTACCTTGAAAGTCAGGGTCTCTATACATCAGCCCATGAAAACAACATAGTTTCCCTAGAGAGTTTCATGTAAGCATAATGCAAAAGTTTATGGCATTACATCAGGCTATTTATTATTTATTTTATTAATTTATTTTATTTATATCCTGCTTATCTGGTCAGTTAAGACCACTCTAGGCGGCTAACAGCATAAAATAACACAATAAAATATAGATAACTCAATTTTTACATAATAAAAACATTTAAACGAGAAGGGAACTAATGGTAGAAAAAAGAGAGAAGTGGACATCAAGAATTGTCTGGAGGGAAGGCCTGCCAAAACATCCATGTTTTTAAATGATTTTTAAAGTTACCCAGCGAGGGAGCCGCATGAATCTCAGGAGGTATGTTGTTCCAGAGGCGAGGAGCCATCACCGAGAAGGCCCAATTTCTTGTCTTTTCCTTCCGGGCCTCCCTCGGCGTTAGGCTCCTCAACCTCACCTCCTGGCTCGCACGAGTGACACGGGTAGATCTTGGTGGGAGTAGGCATTCTAATCTAACAAGAAAATAAAAGTTATTTACTTGTAACTCTGGTTCTTTGAGTAGTCCTCTGTGAATTCACACTAATGGGTTAATCTGCCCTCGAGCAGAGCAGTTTTGGAAACTTTCATAGCTTTAAGCACTTAGTGCTGGGACCTCCCCTACACCTGGCTATATAACTCCGCCCCCCGGCACCCAGTGTCTCAGTTCTAAGGAACCAATCGCCACTGCCCAGCATGCTATGGCACACGTGACGGACAGTGGGGAGGAGGGCGGGTACATGTGAATTCACAGATGACCACTCGAAGAACCAGATTTACAGGTACAGTAAGTAACTTTTCTTTCTCCTTCGTGGCCTCTGTGAATACACACTAATGGGTGACTGGCAAGCTGACTAACCAGGAGGAGGGACGTCACGAACGTGCAGAAGCTAGGGCAGCTTGACCTACCGCAGCCTGAGCCTTTGGCTGGACTTCCAGGCAGTAGTGCGAGAAGATAGACGGAGTGACACATGTGGCAGCACGGCATCCACTATGTCCACTCCATGGAGAAAGGCCATTGAGGATGCTACAACTCTAGTAGAGTGAGCTCTCACTGACTTTGGAAGAGGAGTCTCCGCCAAATCATAGGGAGACGGATGGTCTTGACTATTCAACTAGAGATGGTCTGAGAGGAAGCCAGTGCTCCGAAGGAGGAGCCAACATAAGTGACAAAGAGACATTGAGAGGCACGATGCCATGCACATATGACAGAGCATGCTTCACATCTAGAGCATGCAGTCTCAAGCAGTGAAGATGGTGTGGGAAAGAAAACAGGAAGGACAGTTGGCTGGTTCAAATGGAAGGCAGAAAATACCTTAGGCAAGAAGGTAAGGTCTGTCTGTAAGGTTACCTTGCAGAAAAGAGAATCTGCTCTTATTGTAGTCAGACCTCCAAGCCCTGCAAGCTAAGGTTACCACCAGGAGAAAGGCAATTTTGAGGTTTAGCAAGCGGAGCAATGCTGATGCCAAGGGCTTGAAGGGAGGCCTCATAAGCCGCCAGAGAATTGATTGGAGAGACCACGGAGATGTTAGTGGTCTATAGGCAGGGTGCATATTCTCCAGGCCTCAGAGAAACAGCTTGCAGGTAGAACTGGCCAGTCCCAGGCAAAAGAGGTGAAGGAGAAACTGAAGGAATGCGTTCAGAGACATTGGCCTCGTAGGCAAATGTCAACTTGAGGCAAAGTGACAGAACACCTACCCATTAGAGGAGTAGGTCAAGGTGGTAGAAGGTTTGCAAGCATGATTGAGCATGTCTGTTACTGTCGGGGAAGACTCCAAGCCAACAGGCGGAGGGACTCGAGGACCACATGAAATATCTAAACTCAGTCAGTAGATGAGGGACCAGCTGCAGCGTGATGTATTCCGCAGCTCACGGGAGCAGGATCGAGAACCATGGCTAGTGAGTTGACCAAGCATGTTTGCACACTCATGTTGGACTCAAAACAACAGTCCTTTGGAAAAGGGGGAAAGGTGGGAACATGTAGAGGAGGTCCCATGACCATCTCGTCAGGAAGGTGTCCCCTAGGGAGTTGCACCCGATGACGGCTCAGGAGCTGAACATGACACACTTCTCGTTTATCCGAGATGCGAAAGTGTCTATGTCTGGAGTCCCCCATTAACGACAGAGGCAATAAAAGATTGTAGCATCGAGAGCCCACTCGTGAGACCAGGACTGTAGTCTGCTGAGACGGACTGCCATAGAATTGTTCTTGCTTGCCAATGTACAGCCACTGGATAAATGTGGCGAGCATAACACCATTCCGAAAGGTCAATGGTGTGAAAAAGGTGTAATAAGTGCCGCCCTGCTTGTGTATATAATAAACTGCAGTGGTATCGTCTGATATGACCTGGACCACCCGAACCCAGAGTAGGGGCTCAGAGACCCGAAAGGCCTTGGTGATTGCCAGGAGCTCCAGCACAATGATATGAAGGCTGGCTACTATTGTGGACCAGCAGCCAAGGGCAACGTGGTGGCATAGACAAACCCCTGCAGCCTGGTGGGCTGGCATTCACCACTGACTGAACCAATTGGGTCAAGAGACCAAAGGGTCACCCTATCCGTAGGTTGGGGGGAGGGATCTCCACCAGTCCAGTTGTGCAGCAATTTCTAGAGTCACCTGGAGCAACATGGATGGGTGGTCACAAGAAATCTCAAAGACTGAGAGAAACTGGGCTTGAAGGGACCGCATCCTCAGTCGAGGATGCTGTCCCAAAGCTGTGGTCGATGCCATCAGCCCCAGAAGTCGCTGGAACTGTAGGACAGGGAACCAAACACCTGAAGAAAAGGAGCAGAACAAATTATGCATTTTAACACACTTGCTGTCAGGGGAAAAAAGCCTGCTTCAAGAAAGCATCCAAAGTTGCATTAATACAATCTACACATTGTGTAGGTTGCAAAATCGACTTCTCTATGTTGACCTTTAGTTCTGACGCTGACAAAAGAGACAGTGTCAAGGACGTGTATTTACAAGCTTGTGACTTGGACTCAGCGGCCAGGAGCCAGTTATCCAAATATGGGTAAACAGTGATTCCCCCAACTGAAACCCTGAGAAAGCATTGATAGTCTGACTGGATGCCAGCATAAAAATGAGCACCTCATGGTAAACCAACTCCCTGGACATAACATGTGAATAACAGAGTCCAAGGAAGTCATACGCAGTCTACGTAGAGTAATAAAAGAATTCAGCCCTCCAAAATCAAGGATGGGGGGGGTTCATCCTTTTGGGGAGGGATCGGGATGGCCTTAATGTGGCCTGTGTCAGGGGGTACATAAAATTCAGTGGCATAGCTGGTAGCTATGATAGCGAGTACTGAAATGTTAGATGTGAAGGAACACCAATTGGAAAGATGAGGGGCCAGAAGGCCTGACTGGTCAGTGACAGAGAAGTCAGGTACAGTAAAGAGAGCGCTTGATTTTGCGGTCCTGCCTGCGGTTTTGTTGGTCAGGGCGCTGCCTACCCACATGTCTAGGGGATGGCGGCTGGTAACTCTGGGGTTGAGGCCTTTGATGTTCCTGGGATGCCCTAGGCTGATGGGAACATCACCAGGTACTTGCGGTTGTTACTCCGCAAATGACCATGCCACCTTCCAGAGCTTGAGCATGCTACCAAAAATAACATCAGTTTTCCGACCAAAAAGCCCTACACCAACAAGGTTTAAGGCATGTCTATGAGTAGACTATGTCTAGATGGGCGGCATATAAATGCAATAAATAAATAAATAAATGTCGAGCAGCAATGCACTTGTGACGCGCCTGCCCCATTACCTCCTAGTGATATGGGAAGCCTTAACTGTAAAGGTGCACAGGAGCTACCCGCAGAATGAGCAATGCCAAATTCCATAAGTGGTGATGATAAACACCCATGGCAGAGGGGTAGTTGGCTACATGGCAGCCAGAAAATGAAAATGCTGACCAAAGAACTCCTTATCTGTTAACGGTAAAGGAGAGTGATTAACTGTGGCAACTTATATGGGAGCAGGAAGATTGGTTGGAAATCTTCCTCCCCTTGTGACTCTTGTGAGTCCCAGGCTGAATAAGGTAAGTCCTTCTGCTGATTAGGGGGGCAGTCTTTCTTAGCATGACCCTGACCAAGCTCAGTCTCAATACAGTTGCTGGAACAGAGAAGGCTGAAAGGGTTAACAGTGGGTTAGGTCAAACTCGCAGACACTTTGCTGCTGGAGCCGAGTTCGAGGGAGCACTACACCTTTGAGGCATAAGTGGAGGCACAAAGCACTCCTTAGCCCGTGGCTCAGGACTGTGCCAGGTGGAGTGGGGTGGTGGTGGTGGCAGAAAAGGCTCACAGCTCCTGTACCAGATAAAAGGGACTGGTCCTGCACAAACTTGTCGGCGTGATAGGACCCTCCTGAGGAAAATTACTCAGGTCTACTTGAGAGTAGCAGGGTTCTAGGGTTGACTTCTATGAGTCCTTTCCCTATGAGGCTATGAAGGCATCGGCAGCTGAGGTGGGACTGCAGGCTACTATGTGAACAAGAACATTGATAAAAGAGGGTTGTTTTGCGCCAAATTATCAGCCACCAAACAGGTGCTACCCCAAACAGGAATATCACTGACTAGCAGGGCTAGCAGTGGGAGCTGTAGCCCCTCCCCCCTTTTTAAAGGCAAAGCTAGGGCTGCCAAATGTTGCCAGAAAGCTCTTGCATTGGCACCTAGCTGATTTTGGAAATAGCAGCTGTGTGAACGAGCCCATTGATAAATGAGAGCTGTTTTATGCCAAACCACCAAAAGGTGTTACCCCAGGCAGGCATATCACTGACAGGTAGGGCTGGCAGTGGGAGCTGCAGCGGGCCCTTTCTTTCCCCAAAGGCAAAGCCAAGGCTTACTGCGTGTTGCCAGAACATCTTCAGTGTTGGCACCCAGCTCTCTCTGGAATTAGCAGCTGTATGAACGAGCCCATGATGCAAGAGTGCTGTTCCGCGTCAACCTCTCAGAGAGGCTTTTACCTCATGTCAGGAGAATCACTGACAGGTGGGGACGGCTACCAGAGCTTCTTCCAAGGGCAGGGCTACAGGCACCCAACTCACTGCAGGTTTAACAGCTGTATGAACAGGCCCCTTGATGCAAGAGGGCTGTTCCACACCAACCTCCACAGAGATGTTACTCAAATCAGGAGTATCACTAACAAACAGGGATGGCGGCAGGAGCTGCAGGGGGCCCTTTCCAAGGGCAAAGCTCAGATGCTGTCCTCTTCTTTCTTGACACGAAGACGAAGACTGCAAACAGATGGATAGCTGTTGTTCTTGAGCCTGGGGGTAACCTTGCTAAGGTAGAAGATACCTTATTTCTTTAAGAGAAAAGCCCGGAGGGTTCTAAAGCCAGCTTTGTAAAGCTTTCACAAAGAACACCTAACGTTGTTTAGTACTCTTTCCCCAGGCAGAAGAAACAACTTGCTAGTGAAGAAAGAACAAGAGGAGGTGAAACAAAGGAAAGGAACATAATTGTTTTTACTTGTGAAGTTCCGAACGAAGCTGCTGCTGCTACAGCAGGGTGCCAGGGGGCGGAGTTATATAGCCAGGTGTAGGGGAGGTCCCAGCACTAAGTGCTTAAAGCTATGAAAGTTAACAAAATTGCTCTGCTCAAGCGCAGATTAACCCATTAGTGTGCATTTGTCAGAGTATTGAAAATTTACAGGCCTGAACAGAAAAGAACAGAGCAAAAGTAATAATGAGCTCCCATGTTATACAGGTGTGTAATTTGCTGAGTCACAGTGACTCTGGAGAGGTGGTGCCTTGGATGATGCAACACCTTCTGTGATTGGATAAGGGCAGAGGCTCAACTGTATATATATGAACTGTACCACTACCTTCATTTGATGATGCCATGCTGCCGCTTTCTACACTTGTATATATGCTGTAAATACACGTGTCGTGCTGGAGGAACGTGTCTGAGTGATTTATTTTGCCTTCTGGACCTGAAAAAAACTTAACTCTGCTGGATTTTTGCGGGTTCGCAGTAACAATATTCACAGAGGCCATGAAGGAGAACCTTTTATTCTAACCCAGTATATAAAAAACACTACTTTGATGCTACCTGACATATTTAAAGGCTTATACTAAAAAAAGAAGAACAAATAATGGTGTTAGAAGCCGGGGTAGATATTTAGCAGATCAGATATAAAGCTATTAAAAACATAATTAAAAGTTATACACACTTCTTACTCGGTTTTTACAAATAATTTTGAGTTGATTATGTTAGTCCTCTTCTCTAGATAAGTACAGATATATCATAACCTTACCCTTTGGAAGACATGTAAACTGAAGATGCACAAGATTACCTGCTGTGTAATTTAAGCTTCAAAAGAGTTTAAAAGAGATAGAAACGATTACTTTCAATTGGCATTCCAGCCATTTTGGAAAAGTTTACTCAGAAAATAGAAGTGGGTCTACCAATGTATAAATTTAACAAAGCGTAAATCTGATAAATTTTCTATTGGAAGAAGGGTATGCTAAATGAATGCCCTTCTCTTTTCATGTGATAGTCTCAAAACACAACCAGAAAAACACAACCCTAAAGGTCAATCTACATTTTGCCATAGTGCTGTAACATCTAGTTCACACACGGGGCACTCCTGAACCCAATGTCTGATGCTAATTCTCTGTCACTACCTTCACTAAGTTTATTATTTTTAATAGCCTACAATATCTGTGTGTTATAAAGTCATGTGCCTCCCAAATTAGTAGCAAGTTAACTCTTCAGCTTCAGATCTGTGAGTTGGTCTTGTTTTTTTATTGACATTTAGATGCATTATAAACATAGTAGACACTGCACCGTATGCATGAACAGAGCAGCAAATGCATGTTAAAATGTTCTATAATGATGCCTCACAAATTAAAACTATAGTTAGATCCTACAGTGTGTGGCACATACTGCATCAGCACCACTTCTTTCCACCAGACATATGCATCCTATATGAACTTTGCTTCACATTTAGGGCCAGGGAAAATATAGATGCCAAGAAAAAATATAATTATATTAAATTAAAATTATTCAAAATAATTTATTTAAAAGTCATTATTACCAACCTGAGTCTGATTGGCACTGGTTCGAGCTGAAAAATTGACAAAGAAAGGGAAATAGAGTTCCTTTTCTAAATGGTGCATTAGCTTGTCTTTCACATATACAGATTTCCCAGTACCTGTTGGTCCAACAAAAAGTAGAGGCCTTGGAAAGAAATAGGTATATTGCATTAGTCCTAGTTTTAGTTACCAGTTCATATAATTACATCCATATAAAATTACATATATCATGAGAAGACTCCCTGGAAAAGACCCTGATGTTAGCAAAGTGTGAAGGAAAGAGGAGAAGGGGACGACAGAGGATGAGATGGTTGGACACTGTCATCGAAGCTACCAACATGAATTTGACCCAACTCTGGGAGGCAGTGGAGGACAGAAGGGCCTGGTGTGCTCTGGTCCATGGGCGTCACAAAGAGTCAGACACAACTAAATGACTAAACAACAACAAAAATTAAAAGCTACATAAAAGAGCAACAAGTTTACTGAAACACCCTTAACTGTACTTACTAAAACATGCATAGCTTCTTTTAGTTATATGAATGGTAAGTATTTCAGAAGAGTACATTATAATGCGCTCTATGTGGGGCTGCCTTTGAGGCTGCTGCGGAAACTACAGGTGGTGCAGAATGCGGCAGCCAGACTACTTAGTAGAGTGAAAAAAGACCAACATATTTCACCCACTCTGGCTGCATTGCATTGGCTGCCCATCCGGTTCCGCATCGACTTCAAAGTGCTGATGCTTACGTACAAAGCCCTAAACGGTTTAGGGCCTCGATACAGTGGGGTCTTGACTTGAGAACTTAATCCGTATTGGAAAGCGGTTCTCAAGTCAAAAAGTTCTCAAGTCAAATCTGCATTTCCCATAGGAATGCATTGAAAACCATCTGATCCGTATCTGCTCTTTTCCGTCCATAGAAACTAATGGGAAGCTGCTGTTCCACCTTCGACCACTAGAGGGGGACATTTTGTTTCTTTTTTTCTTAGGTCAAGAAAGGTTCAGGGAAGGCAGGGAAAATACAGTCCAGGCAGTACCAGGCAGTCTGAAGACTGTCTCCCAATCCACTCTCTAAACCAGGGGTGTCCAACCTTTCACCTTCCCTGGGCCACATTAGAAGATGAAAATTTGGTTTGGGCCGCACATAAATTTGGTTTGGGCCGCATGGGGGGGCAGCCCTAGCCGTCCTCTGCAGCCTCGCTCCAAGTGCACTTACCGGCAGCTGTGATCTCAGACAGCAGAGGCTGCCAGCTTCAACTCTGGCAGCTTTATGGGGCCGGGAGGGGGTCCACCTATTGACGGCACAATGCAGTCACGCAGCCCTCCTCCCCTCCCGCTCCTTCCTTCCTTCCCTCTCTCCCCCCTACCATTGTGATGTGCCCCGGCCGCATTCCGGCCACAAGCGCCGGCAGTGTAACTTGACACTTTGGAATTTCTTTAAAAATAAAAAATTGCACTGGGCCTCAGTATGAGCCGATCTGGGCTGCATGCGGCCCATGGGCTGCAGGTTGGACAAGCCTGCCCTAGAGTCTCCTGGGAGTGGCAGTTCTTCATCAAAAGAAGGTGCCTCCCAAACTCCAAAGATTTTAATATGAATCCAAAATGGAGCTCCAGTCTCTTTCTCTCTAGTTTTGGGGGTTTGCTATAGTGTACAAGAAGTCTGGCAGGGGAAGTGTTTTCCGTTTCCAAGCTAAGCTAACCAAGAATGGGAAAATGTTACTACGTATGTCACTCTTGCAAGCCAGAGTTTTGTTTTGTCCAACAAAAGCATTTTGCACCACTAAAACGTTTTTATTTATGGATGAATTAATCAGGATGCTGACTTGCTTATATTGGCTGCAGAATCGCATGGGACAAAAGTGTTGTTCCTGAGACCTGCTGTGGTCCCCAGTATGCCGATAGATCAGTTTTTAATTTTAAAAATGACTATTTTAATTAAAATATGTCTAGAATGGAATAAATTCTCTAAAATCAGGCTAATACAGAGTTTTTTATCTTTCTAATACATGATATTTAGTAGACATGGGGACAAATAAAACACCGAATTGCAAGATTTATTAAATAGCTGATCCATTTAATATTTGTCCCTTTCTATTTGTCAGTTCCAGAGACCCTGACAAATACAAAGGGATGAAAATTTCTCTATTTTTATTCTTCCCCCATGGGCAGAGAGGGAAGGCTAGCCCAAACAGCTGATTGGCAGCCCCATAGGCAGATGTCTCCCTCCCACAGTTCCCCAGCCCTACACCCTGCCCCCTTCCCTTCCTCACCCTACCTTCTCCGCCACCACCATCCATCACCACCTGGTGCCACCCCCATCCATTGCCACCCACTGCAGCAGCCTGCCTTAAGAGAATCTGGGCTGCCTTTGCAAAGATAGCAGCTGCGTCTTCTCTTACTGCAAGGAAGACACAGTTACCATCTTTGCAAAGGGCAGCCTGGATTCCCTTAAGGCAGACTGCCATGGCGGAGGTTGACGCAGTGGGTGGTGGTGGATGGTGGCAGGTTGGATGGAACACAAACCAAGATGAACTGCCATTTTGGTAGTTTGTCCCCATCTCTAATAATTAGTCTCAGAGTATAATATAAAGTGTTAATCTTGAACTTCAAGCCCTAAACCATGGCGCTCATAACATGGCTTTTCCAGATATAAAAAGAAACGCCAGTTACTCTGTACATTAAATTAAGAGATATTCACAATTCTCATCTAACTTTTGAGGATTAAATAGTATGAATTCATGCATTTAAATTCTAGAATACAAATTGTATAGACAGATCCTTTAAGACAGTAGCCCAAATCCTCTTATGTAGTTATGCTTGCAGAAGGGAAATGTCATAATATGTGGTGGGAAATTGTTACTATTTAATATGTCAGTATGGGGGTTTGATGCATGATGAGGAATCCAAGCAGAGGCTTATTAATTAACAACAATTCACTGGTGCAAATTATACCATAGCACTTCTATTGGCATGACTATGGAATATAATTTTATTTATTTATTTATTTATTTGATTTGATTTATACCCCGCCTATCTGGACCGATGGACCAGTTAGTTAATTTAAACTGTGTTTTGAGATCTCTGGTCAATATAGCTTTTCTCATTTACTTCAGTAAGAGGCACATCTGCTTTATATCCCATGTGAAATTCATGATTCTTAACTACATGCTGAAAAGCATTGCTAAGAATAGCGATGATGATGATTTTTAAAAAGTGAGCTCCATCTTTTTACAATTCTCTGAAAGAAAATTCAGAAACTCCATATATATTAGGCCATGATAACAAATATACATAATTACATAACAGGATTTCAAATAATAATAATAATAATAATAATAATAATAATAATAATAATAATAATAATAATCACTCTAGCATGGGAACCAGCTCTTCTTACTTTCCATATTGAATGCACAAGTCCATCAAATAAGTGTATCTGACTGTATCCATCGTTGGGACGATAATATCTTGAATCTTAAGATTCTTATCACCGTAATGGATGGTTTTAATGAACTCATTCCAATGTGCCCAACGGCCTTTGCCTTTCATCTAAGAGGAAATGCAGAAGTAAATTTCGTAGAAGATACGGTGCTGGCAAAAGACATTCAAAATTATTACTTCACAACTTGTTGCTGCTTGCAATTAAAAAAGAAACCCCCTATCTCAAAATAAACAAGTGGCTTATCTGTAACATATCTTTTTTGAATGGTCAACTGTGCATAGAGCCACCATTCGGAACCTTCCATACCCCTCTTATCTACAATATGTGTGTCAGTAAGCTGCTGTTAGTTCAAACATTCAGTTGACAAGGCAGCAGAACATCAGTCAAGCACAAGTGACAGAGAAGGAAAATAAGGCAAGTCATGGGAATTCACAGATGACAACATGAAAAACAAAAATTACACATAAACAATCTGTTTATTGGTTGTTGTGGGTTTTTCGGGCTCTTTGGCCGTGTTCTGAATGTTGTTCTTCGTAACGTTTCACCAGTCTCTGTAGCCACCATCTTCAGAGGACAGCACTCTGAGCACAGAGCGCTGTCCTCTGAAGATGCCGGCAACAGAGACTGGCGAAACGTTAGGAAGAACAACCCCCAGAACACGGCCAAAGAGCCTGAAAAAACCCACAACAACCATTAGATCCCGGCCGTGAAAGCCTTCGCGAATAAATCTATTTATTTTTTCTTAGTGGTCTCTGTGCACTCATAGATATAGGCAAGGACCAGTGAACTTATCTGCAAAGGCCTCCAGAAGGCAGATAGGCAGGCACAACAGTAATTAATTAATATCCTACCCATCTAGACCGAAGTCTACTCTGGGTGGCTAACAACCTACAAGAATAATAAAATAAAAGAAACAACAACATTTAAACCATAAGGATAACAATAAATTAAGTATAGGCAGGAAGGAACGCCTGCCTAAAGATCCAGGTCTTGAGTTGGCTCTTTAAAAACACCCATCTAGGTTCATCTTGTTTCTGTCTGCTAATCAAAAGATGCTGTGGTGGAAACCATTTTGGAATAGAAAGGAGCAAACAATTTTGATCCAGATGACCTTATCTGGATGGAACTGAAGGAAGGGTAGATCGGATTGGCTGCAAGTTTGCTAGCCTGCTTAGCAGATGTTATTGCCACAAGGAAATATGTTTTCAAGGAAAGCAGTTTAAGATCATAGGTAGCCATCGGTTCAAAGGGTGGTCGAGTAGGTGCATTGAGGACAAGTTGTAAAGACCACTGAGGGATAGGAAGTTGATGTGGGGGCAAATATTGTTGAGTACCTTGAGAAATGTTTTCACAGTTGGATGAGAAAAAAGTTTGGCCGATTCAGAATGAGGAGGTTGATGAGCTACAATAGCAGAAATATAAGCTTTCAAGGTGGAATGAGATAGTCCAAAATTGAAAAGAAAAAGGACAAAAGTAAGTAAATTCTTCAAAGAGACTGGCGTTGCAGGTAGGTTCTGAGAATCAGTAAAGGAAAGAAATGCTTTCCATTTGTTTTGGTATAGAAGCTGGGTCAAGGGCTTTCAAGCCTGATCAATTACATCCTTTATGGTGGGAGTATCCTCCACGCTATCAGGTTCAGAGAGGATATATCTGGTTGGTGAATCATCCCGTCATCTTGAGTGAGAAGGTTGGGGATCGGTGGAAGCAAGAACGAGTCGGTTGACATCGACCTCAGGTGAGTGAACCATGGTTGCCACGGCCACCATGAAGCAAAAAGGATTGCATTTGACTGGAACTGTTGAAGTTGAATGATGGTTCTTTGCATGAGCAGTATCGGAGGGAATAGATAGACTAGGTCCTTGTCCCAGTCTATCATGAAGGTGTCTCTGATCGAGTTCCTGTCAATTCCAGCTCAAGAACAGTGCTGTCCTCTGAAGATGCCGGCCACAGAGACTGGCGAAATGTTAGGAAGAACAACCTTCAGAACACGGCCAAAGAGCCCGAAAAACCCACAACAACCAGTAATGTTGGCACTTGGTATTTGCTCAGGAAGCAAAGATATTGATGGAAGGGGTGCCCCAACAGTTGCAGAGGAGATCGAAGATTGTGTTGTTTAGGGACCATTTGTGTCTCCTTGTGGTGAGGTGACTGAGATAGTCTGCAAGGAAGTCTTTGTGTGTAGCTATGTGGACTGCTGCTGGGAAGATGTGATATAGATACCACCATTCCCAGACTCGATGGTCAGATACAGTAGGTATACAGGATGTGTGCCCCGTACTTGCACAGGCAGTACTTGATGTCAACAGCAGTCTGTCTAGAAAGTTTCAGCTTCTTCTTAGCATCTGATTAATGTGGTCACATCTTTTTTGAGTTGATACCATGGAGATCAGCACTGATGAACCAGTTGACTGCGGAATTGGTACCGAGACTGTAGATACTGACAATTATGGTGAAAGTCCTTTTGGCATCAAAGTGGCCAGTGTGGTAACTGATGTGATCAGCATTCCAAGGACTCCTGATGATTAACAGATCAAAGACTTTTGCCAGGAGAATCTGTGGTCAAAACATATTTTCCAGGTAGTTGGGCTTAAACAAAACCCTATGAGTTTGGCAAGTTTGCCTGGAAAAGGATTGGCAAATATTATAGGTCAAGGTCTTATGACCTGCTTCTAAAATGTGTTGTGCCCATCTGAAGCAGCAATTTTCATCTGACAGACAGAGATGTTTTTACAGCCTCTGATCCTATAAGCTTTGAGTAGGGAAAAACCTACCACCAACAAAGAATCATAAAGGAAAGAAATAAAAATCTTAACAGAAAAAATAAAATAAAATTACAAATTCTATTGAAAAAAAATATAGTGAATATATAAAAGACATTGCCAGGGAATTTTATGCATACTGTGAAACTCTGAAGAAAGATAGGATATAAATGAAATCAAAAATCTCAGTGTCAGAAGATTAGATTACAGATCAGATGGTCCATGGATCAAAACAGTTTGCAAAATTAATTTCAAATACTGATTGATATATAACTGAATCCATACCTCAAACATATAATCATACACCAAGCCTTTCTCTTCAAATGGATGGTCCCATTTGCCCACTGATGCTGGCACCGGGTGTTCATCTATCTTCCCTATGAGAATATCCCTTATGAAGTTATCAAACACACTTCGGCCATCACCATCACAAGTAGCACCAATGGACCAAATCACGGAGAAAGCAAAGCAACCCTTTCAGAACAAATGACAACAAATGTTTAACAGTATCATCATGGCATATTCCCACTGACCTGTTATTATACTACTTAATTGTATACTCTTAACAACTTCATTTTAAATATTTTGAAGTGTTTTCTGTTATCCATCAACAATAACAGTGATACTTTAAACATTCAAAATAATCTGTATTGTTTATCATCCACTTCTAAACATTCACTGTCAAAAATTTAGCACAAAAAGAAATATAGAATATATTTCAAATATTTATCCAACTTCAAACCAACCATAATCCATTTGTAGATGTTTTTATTGGTAGGATCCTTCTGCACAGTATCACAAAGCAGCATTTCCAATAGTCGAGTAAGAGCGACAACATTATTGCTGTTGCTGGTGGGAACTAACTCCTGTACGAGGGAAATAAAAGGAAAAGTATGTATTTGAGCATGATGGAACAGAGGTACATATGAATACTGGGGGGGGGGAGCCCTGTGCTGGGGTATAGGAGCCTGCATTGGTAGGTAAGAAGAGGCAGAATTCAAAAATTAAGAAAACGTGGCTTGAGGATTCAGTCTTTGAGCTCAGAACACAGGACATTTTGTCTCTGTTGAATCTTGAGCCTACAGGCTCCCCTTCCAAGGAGATGTATTCCAATTGGTTTGTTCAGGATCAGCTGATGTCAGTTCCATAAGGCTCGTGATTGGAGGTCGGTAAGTCTCCTGACTGTAGGAAGCTAAGCCTCGTGGCTGAAGCAAGACTGTTTAGAGAGGCAAGGTATGTGCCATTTTGCTCTATCTTCAGCTATCTCAACTTATTTCCATGTAAAAGATGCCCCTCAATTTTTAGGGTAATGATTTTAGGAAAAAGTAGTGTCTTATAGACGGAAAAAATGCAGTAATATGTTTTATGAGCTGGTCACCTGACTGTAAATTAAAAATTTAAAAACCAGTACAGCTAATGGTGAAGGCTTCTGGGAGTTGTAGTCCAAGAACATTCTAGGGACCCAAGGTTGGGAACCACTGCTCTAGATAATGTCAAAGCTGTGAAATTAGCCAAACCTGGTTAAAAAGCACTCCTAGCTACTGATGTGATCTGTGAATCCACAGTAAGTGCAGACTGTGAGCACTTCCCAACTTTGCATCTGGTTCTATATAGGGAGTGTAATTCCATCCAGAGCCATCTGTACAGCTTTTGACCTCTGCGCTCACAACACTCATCTGGATTAAAACTGTTTGCTCCCTTCCACTCCAAAATGGTTTCTACCAGCATCTTTTGATTAGCAGACAGAAACAAGATGAACCTGGATGGGATTCTGCATTGCATTCAAAATGCCTGATTCAAAACAGATGCTATATTCTGAAGATCAGGCAAAAAAAAAAAAGCAAAAAAAAAATACAAAATGTTGTGGCACCTTAAAAATTAACTGCTATATTTTAATAGGAGCTTTCATGGACAGGTCCACTTCCTCAAATCATAAATCCTAACATTAAAACATAGCAGCTCGTCTTCAGGGTGCCACATTTTTGTCTTTTTTTCTTTTCATTTTTGCTTGATATGCTAGCAGACTAACATGGCGTCCTCTTGTAAAACTATACTCTAAAGATTAACTCTGAAACTACTGTAAGATGCATTTTTTCTGACGTATTCGTAATGCAGGTGGTGTTAACCAGTTGAAAAGATCTAGGAAAAGTTCTTGATACTCCTTTTGATCCAGGGGTTCAGGAAGATTACTTAACCAAGATGTCACAAGTGGCTTCCAGCCCAGTTGCAAAGGCTCCAAGTAGATCATTCCACAACGACTGACTGTAGCAGGCTATAACAGAATGGTCAAAATGAGAAACTGTGTATGTATAGAGTGTTTAAACCAGGGATATCCCACCTTTCACCTTCCCTGGGCCACATTATAAGATGAAAATTTGGTTTGGGCCACACATACATTTGGTTTGGGCCGCATGGGGGGGCAGCCCTAGCCGTCCTCCGCAGCCCCGCTTCAAGCGCACTTACCGACAGCTGCGATCTCAAGACAGCAGAGGCTGCCAGCTTCAACTCCGGCGGCTTTATGGGGCCAGGAGGGGGTCCACCTATTGACATGCAATTTTTAAAATGTACATTGTATCATACTTTAAAAATGAGGTGACAGCAGTTTATTAAGAGTAGCTGCAAAACAATCATCCAACTCTCCAGTCAAGCCTGGAAGCACAATACCCTCACCTTGCAAAATGTATTTTTTATGGCTGGCAATTGAACATATTAATGTTGCAATAAGTTAACATGATGAGAGATGGTATTTGCAAGTACTATAACTTGCACTCTCTGTAATTAATATGCTGGTTTTACAGTACCTTGGTGTACTAAATCCTTTATTTTATACTTTATTCCTCCAGGCTTTGTGAATTTAGTCAAAATAAGAATATTTATTGTCATAGTGGCAGCCTCCAGATTCTAAGTTACAAGCCCTTGAAGTTACAGGAGTTTTTAAAAAAATAGAAATGCCTATAGTAAAATTTCTGTTGCTGCACCAGGCCCTTGCACCTCCAGGCCTAGTAGAAATTTGATTAAGGGAAAATAAGAGAGTAAACAATGTCCAGAAAAGATAGCCCAGGCAAGGAGCAAACGATGTCAGTAGAGCACTTTTAGAGGGGAGGAAACACTGCTGCATATTTAACATATTTTTTACTATACGCTGTTATGACTTTATAATTGCTTACGCAGTCTATTAATTACATAGCTTGCTAGGATACTTAGAGAGAAGTGACTTAATTGAGTGAGTTTTTTAATATAATTTGGGGATTATGCCTTCATAATGCTTTTTTATTATCAAGGATTTGAAACAATCCAGTTACAGTCTTATTATTGCACTCTTAAGCAAGCACCATATAAATTTTTGTTAGAAAAAGTTTTTTAAAAAGTTTTGTTAGAATATTTACTTATATTTTCATTTAGTTCATTAAGTTTTCACAGTTAAATTCTTAAAATATTGTATTAAGTTTTTATGTTACTTTTAAAGATTATCAATAGATAATACATTAGATAAAAATATAACACATTTATATCAGCTGCAGGTGCCTGTTCACTGAAGAAGAAAAGCAGACATATTCTTGGACAGTCAGTTTATCTGTGTTGCATGGGACAAATAAGCTGAAGGATATACAAAAGGAGGTGTACAAGATGCAAAATATTTCTCTGGGTCTCACTGGAGACAACTGCCAGCTGTGATGAACACATGCTTCTGAATTTTCCCTGTTCTGTACGTATCTTAGGGAGACGTTCAGGCATGAGACTCCTTGACTTGACAAAGTAACACAACCTTAAAATTCTATTACCCCTCCAACATATATTCCTGGTAACTTAACTGAACGTGGATTTAACTTACTGAAGCCTGAGACAGGTCCATAGTTTCAAAAATTAGGCTCATCTGAGGGGACATTTGAATGATTTCTCCACTCATCAAACAAAGCTGAAAACAAACCATAAATTTTAAGAATCTTTCATATTTATGTAACTTTTATAAGAATACTAATTTGCTATAAGCTTTATTGACCAGAACTTGCCATTACTTGTTCAATGAACTGAAATGGTAGGAGGGCCTTATTGAAAACTCTGAATTAGTATGACATTATTTGCTTTGTTCATTTAATTCCTAAGATTTCAAAATGTATAATTAAAACATGATTCTCCCTCCCTCCTTATATAGTTTTTCTCTTTGCTATGTAATGCTATTTTATAATAATAGGCTGGAATCCTATTGGTGTCTGTATAAAGGTTGTGTATCCAGTTGCTGGCTGATGAGGTGTGGGGACAGCTCTTCTCAAGGTTGCTAGCTGTTATTTGTTCTACAGTAGCAGAACACACTCTCCTGGCTGAGGACGCAACTACTTCTGAGAGGAGGGCGGCTGCCCATTCTTCCTTTTTCCCTTAGATTCAGAGAGCATAACTTCAAAGGCTCTCTCTGGCTAATGGCCATTATGTAACCAGTACTCTATCTGAATACTTGCAACAATCTGTAAGCTTGTCAAGGTTAATAAAAGGAGCCCTTGGGGCGTCCCCCAGGAGGAGCTCCGCTGGCAGACATCTGTGTCGACTCTCTTCATTAACTTCTCTGTAAAGTTAATCGCTTTCTTTATTCTGTGATCACCTAAACCATCAGCCTTTTGATTTCGTAATCATAATGAGGCACAAGAGTGTATCTCAGATGCAGAGTTGGGTAAATGACCAGACACATGACTGAGACGTGACGCAGCATCTGATCAGTTAGGAACTGTTAGCTGTGGGAAGTTATATAAAACCTATGCAAACCCCAATAAAAGTCAGGCTGATATTTTGTAATTGAAAGACTGTTGTATTTACATTCTGTCAGTGCTATTAATTGCCAGCTTTCAAACTGTTAATAGAACTTTGAGAATTAAAATTTGGATCTGGTTATTTTACATTTCTCTTATTTTGGATATTGGCTCAATAAGTGATTTTATTTTTGACCATGGATATGTTCCTTGAAGAATTTTACAACTGCCTTTACTCATTTATTCACTTGGTTATTACCTTTTTGTTGTCGTCCAACACTGTGTTCATGCTCTCTATCCAAAGGGTATCGATGGGACCATCAAAAACAACCCATTTACGATCAGGTGTCTCCATTAGAGCAAATTCTCGGAAAGTGTTGGCAACGATGCCATCTGACCACTAAAACGTGGAAGTAAAATGTTTTAAAACAAAAAGTAAGCACTGAACAAGGGACATGATGGCACTGTGGGTTAAACAGCAGAAAGAGGTACAGTGGAACCTCTACTTAAGAACTTAATCCGTTTTGGAATGGTGTTCTTAAGTTGAAACGTTCTTAAGTTGAAGCAAAATTTCCGATAGGAATGGACTGAAAACTAATTAATCTGTTCTGGCTGTTTTTTTTTTTGTTATGTAGAGGTGCGTTCGTATATTGAAGCATTAGTTCCCATAGGAACTAATGCAAAGCTGGTTAATACGTACTCTACCACTAGGGGGAGAATTTTTTTTAACCTAAGATGACCTAAGGTTAAAAAAAGAGCAGGAAAGGTTTTTTTTCCTGTTCTTATCTTGGATTTCTGTTCTCAAGTAGAATCAAAATTTAGCAAATGGAGCTGTTCTTAAGTTGGATTGTTCTTAAGTAGAGACGTTCTTAAGTAGAGACCCCACTGTAAACTAAAGTGTCTGAGCATCAGCCAAAAAATAGCTTATCGTTCATTCCTGCCAATCAAGTGTGAGACAGGCACATAGCAGAGTCTCCCAGATTATATAAGAATGACCAAGTTGAAGATTGGAGATTGATAATACTCCCTTGTGATTGCTGACAATCCTGCATGATGAATGCCTGATATTACAGCACTTTCCTTGTGAATTTTATTTATTTATTTATTGAATTATTTAATTTACACCCCGCCTATCTGGCCCACCGGACCACTCTAGGCGGCTTTATACATCCACTTGTCATTCTGTTTTGGAGGTAGGGGACTGGATGTGTCAGGGACTATGATTAGCAGCAGTCTCTTCTTTTTATTTAAACTAAACATCACCCCCAAACCCAAGAATTACTGGGGAATGCACAAGTGTTGTCAAGGTCTTAGCCGGGGAGAACTTGAGTATATTGAATAAAGGCTCACCTCATGAGATACTGGGTCAAATCGACCAAAAAGTTGTCCCATAGTTATAGCTTTCGGATTCACAGTTCTGTGCATTACCCTTTCTTCTTCTCCATACCCTCGTTGATTCATAAGGGAAAGAGTGTCTGCTAACACATGCAAAACTTTGGTCTTACCAGCAAAAGGCTCGCCTACAAGCATAAAACTGAAAATAAAAAGTTTATTTATTATCCTGGATCTTCCTTTCCACCGGAAGTCAATAGGACTGTGCACATGACTAATGTTAGTAATTTTTTTTATCATAGAGGCTTTTAGCTATGATCTCAATAAATATATAAAGTCTAGTTAGGTAAAGGTAAAGGTTCCCCTTGACAATTTTTTTTTGTCCAGTCGTGTTTGACTCTAGGGGGTGGTGCTCATCCCCGTTTCCAAGCCATAGAGCCAGCATTTTGTCAGAAGACAATCTTCTGGGGTCACATGGCCAGTGCGACTCAGACACGGAACGCTGTTACCTTCCCACCCAGGTGGTCCCTATTTATCTACTTGCATTTGCATGCTTTCGAACCGCTAGGTTGGCGGGAGCTGGGACAAGCGACAGGCGCTCACTCCGTCGCATGGATTCGATCTTACGACTGCTGGTCTTCTGACCCTGCAGCACAGACTTCTGCGGTTTAGCCCACAGCGCCCACAGTGCTACCACGCCACCAAGTCTAGTTACACTGCATTTATTTGTTATTTCTTCCACAGTGTGGTGGAATTAAAGATACTGAAATAAAGTAACATTTACTTGATTTAATTTTGTAACAAACTATTCACAGGTTATTACATGCCCATGTATTGTAAAATAAATATATTATATGTCCATATATTATATATCAAGTTCGTAAAACAGAGCATTTCTATCCCTGAACTAAGGTTTTGTTTTCTCATTCATCAATACAGATATGGTTTATTGCTTATTTATTTATAATATTTTATCTTTAAAAAGGACCCAAGGCAAATTACCTCATTAAAAACTACCTCAAAACAAGAGAAACATGGTGCACTGGAAGCCTAACAATATACACAAAACCTATGCTGCTTTACTAAATACAATATCCTACAAGAATGTACTTATATACTATGATAATCTACATATATTCACACAGTAAGAAAGTTTATAATATCCAAACCATATAAATTGAAATATGCACAGCCACAGGGAAGCCAGAAAAAATTTACATATAACATAACTCCTATACTGAAAAACTCAAGGAAACTTTAAGTATAACAAGATATGAACTATACAAGCACCTCTATAAATGAATTAAGCATTTTTCATAAATGATTCTCTAGGCTTCGCAGTGGATACCTCATTAAAAAGACAATATTTAAAAGTTAAAAACACCAAATATACAAATATTTTAAAAAGAATTTTTATATTAAATAAATATTATATTTTTATAATTTGAAAATAAGTTACTCCAGATCTTTAGAACTACTCTTGGAGATGACATTGTAAATATATTTCTGAGTTGGTGTGGGGGGGTTCATCTACAGACTTATGTAACTCTACATCAGGAAGGACGAAAGAGGCTTCAGAATTAAGAAATAAAGAATTTTTATTAACACATCTTGAGTCAACCTTTTCTTCAACAGTAACTGGATTTTGTAACATCAAATGAGGTGGGGAATCATCCCAAAACCATGCTAACGATTTATCAACAGGTAACTCTTTTAATAGTAAGTTTTCGCACTTTTCTCTTTCTCGGTTGGCATTCTCAGAAATCCGTTGCGGACCGCACAGAGGGTCCCGCAACAAGGATGGCGGGCCCAATCTCCCTCTTTCGACAGCTCTCTCTCTACTTCCGGATCTAATTGATGTACCATCTTCTCTGGACCTTGAGCCCTGTGATACACCAGGACTGTCCATTCTTCAGGGCTAAGGCCAGGTATTATGGGTTTGAACTTTCCCTTCGCTGAATCTTTATACTCTTCGTCTATGTTACCCTCGGCTAGCCTTTTCTGTGGGACTGAGAACACTCTCACATCTTCGTCTGGTTCTTCAGTCACTTTCTCCTCTATCACGGTTACTTTCTGTGTCTCTTTTGACTTATTTCCTTCTTCCGTCGTCAAGAACACGTCTACACTCTCCCTGCCGCGGTTCCACTCTCTCCCCTCACCCTCAACCGATGTCTCCGACCGTTTCTTCCGTTTTTCCTCCTCGCGCCTTTCCCCTCCTTCTCCCTCTCCTATCTCAGCCTCGCGGGTCCTTTCCTCCTCCTTCGCGCGCGCGTCTGTCATCTGCCTTTCCTTCGGTCTTGCTCCTAACTCTCTTTCAGGCTTTATCTCTTGCTCTATCTTGGGAGGTTGAGGGGATGGCTCACTCTTTGATGTTCCTGCTACTTCCTCCTCACAGTTGGTAACATAAATATTCTTAAAATTGTCTCTTCCAGAATTTTTGTTCTGCTGATACTACAATATCTGGATTATGTCACGTCTCATTACGTAATGTTTTGTCAAATTATGTAATCTATTATAATGGACATATCATACTTAACAAGACTATGTTCTCAAATATACTTACCCATGTCGAACTATCATCATTTCATAAGTCTGTATCATCTTGTCTAGAAAAACTTTAACAGGCTGGACATTATGTTGTTTACAGCATTCATTTGCACATTCTAAAAAATCCTAAAATACAATGTTAAAAATTAACTTCTGTATTTTCTCTCCCCCTAGCAAACAAGCACTCATATGGATACATATTTTATTTTTAGAAAATAATGGTTAACATATTTTATTTTATTTTCTAAATCACAGATCGCATACTTCAAAGCACTGCCTATTAAGCCAATTGAATTTTACTATGCCAGAGGATAATAATCTCAGTTTAACAAACTACTGAATTATTTGAACCAACAAAACAAGCCAAATAATGCAGGAAAAGTATCAGCTGAAATCCTGTTGCTTAGTGTACTAAGTTGCATCTAGAGTATCCCAATTGAATCAGTGGTGATTTGGCAAGTCAGCTCTTCTATAAATTGCATTGATTCAGTGTGTCTATTCTAGTTATGTCTTACACAGCTAAGCAACAGGATTTCAGCCATTAATGCACTCACATTATCACTTCTCACAAAAGGAAAATACAGTGTAGTTTGAGGTCAAAAAGCAGACTTGGAAATTTATCCTAAAGAAACCATATGGCATATGGTTTCTTAACGAAATGGCATAATTCTGTGAAACCTTTATTGGCAATAAACGTTATCCAACATATGAGCCTTATGTCTCAGTAAAAAGCATAGGATAGGCCGATTTCCAAAGATTTTTGTATAGGCTTGCAGCCTTAGGTTGTAATGAGAAATCCTATACTGTTGAGACAGAATAGTGAGAAGGGCAGAAGTGTCTGACAGGTGAGAGCGAGACTTGTAAGACAATCCTACTAAGAGTGAGATAGCTGTCAAGATGTTTAAACCGTGGCTAGATTGCAACTGAATAATCCCAGTGTAAGTTGAACAGTGTAATTTTCAGTAGCAAATTGCCATTAGTTATGAAATCAGCACTTCCATTTCTTGTTCTACTGTATGTGAAGTTGTTAGAGCTCAAAAAAATTTTATGGGGTGATGAGGTATTGCCCTAATAATGAAAACTGCCTTTAAAATGTGCCTCAGAGAGGTGCCTGTGAGTGGAGACAGACAAGTGTGCCGTCCTCACAGACCTCCAAGAGCGAAGAACACGAAGGATGTGTAGTGGGAGAACTGATTAAATTGGACGATGATGAGAGTGGAACTAATAAGGCGATAGAAGTGTTCTTGGCGGAGAGAATGAAGGACTGGGGGGAGGAGTTAGAGACGTGGAGGTGGGATGATCCTATAAGGGAAGAGGAGGGGGGGTTAGAAGGAAAAAGGGAAGAGAATACTCAGACGGTGGAGACGGGAGTAGAAAGAGAAAAGATTGCAACCTTGGTAAAGACTTTCCCGAACCTGATGAAGGAGGACGGATTGCTGCCTTTACCAAAGAAGTTGCTAAGGTGGGCACGGGCGTCCAACAATAGGGATGGAAGTCAGGAATGGATCCGGCCAACCCTTCGGTGGTGGACAGGGGGACCCCTGGTGGAACCAGTCCTTTCCTTCCCAGATTAGAGGGATCTGTGGTGATACATCCATGTTGCCGAACAACTTGTTCAGTACTGAGTGCGCCAGTCGGGAACAAGAATTGGGTCACCCACTTTGGGGGAAAGAAGCAGTAAAAGTTAAGAGTAATGGACCTGGAGGCAACCCCAAGAAGTGCATAGGCATCCTTCAGTCTCGAGAGACAATGGTAACATGCTCTGAATCGAGGAGTGTCCTCTCCAGAGCATGAAGCCCGGGTAAGGTAATATGGAGGATAGGCTGTTACCCAAGCAGCAGATCCCGCCTCTCCACATTGCTGAAATGGTCCAATGGAAAGGCAAGAGCCAATACAACTGGTTCCAGCAATGTCGTAGGAGTTGGCAGAACGACACATGCTGCCTTCGGGACTCCAGCTCCGGATTTTGCCTCGAGGTTAACTCCTGAAGCCTTTTCCATGAGTGGATATAGCCACAAGGCAGTGGAGGTTTGAAATTGAAGTTTTCCAAGAAGTATTGTTTGATAAATGAAGACGAGTTGCCGAATCTGTTTAGTTCTGAGTTGCTTAATGATGGAGTTAATAAAACAAATCCTTTTTTGACTGTTACTTCGTCTCCGGCTGTCATTCCCGCCGAATCCCTGGGCCCGCCTACCCTAGAGAAAGAACCCAGTCACAGTGCCCTAAAAGCGAAAGTATAATTGGAAAGTGTTATGTGAAGAGAGCTAATACTGTATTACAAAACTAAAACAATTCACATGTTTTTAGAACTCAGAACTGGTAAGATAACAAGGCAAAAGTTGCTCATTCGGTTTTGTGTCAGTTTTTTTAGCAAAAAAAGTTAATAATAGTCACTGTAAACAACTGAATTATTACATTATGTGTAATAGAGAACATGGAAAAATGAAAATGCATTTTAAACTGCTGCTTGTGTTAAAAGAGAATAAAAATATATTGTACAACAAGCTTTTACAGAACGGTGTAAAAGGAGAAAAGGATGAATGTAATTTTAATCAGTTTGTTTAATGATAAGCAAGTAGAGAAGAAAAACAAAGGTTTTGTTTATTTTATAAGGTTTTAGCCTCATAATTAATACTGAGTTCTGAAAAGGATATATATGAATATACAGTATATCACAGAAGTGAGTACACCTCTTCACATGTCATAAATATTTTAGTATATCTTTTCATGTGGCCACACTGAAGAAATGACACTTGGCTACAATGGAAAGCAGTGAGTATGCAACTTGTATAACAGTGTACAGCGGTTTAGACATTTATGGCTGGGTGTTGTGTTATTTTGAGGGGACAGCACATTTACACTGTTATACAAGCCATATACTCATTGCTTTACATTGTAGCCAAGTGTTATTTCTTCAGTGCTGCCACGTGAAAAGATATACAGTGGGTGCCTCGCTTAACAGGCGCCCCGTTTAATGATGAATCCGCATTGTGATGAAGATTTTGTGATCGCTTTTGCGATCGCATTGCGATGTTCCCTATGGGGAACATCACTTTGCGATTTTTCCCCATATGCCCCATTTTCCCCCAGCTGACCGGTGGGGGCTTTGGAAGGACCAAGTGTTCCCGGCGGCCCTCCTCCCAGCGGCGGCGATGGGGATGAGGGGGTGGCTGGGGGAGAGCTGGGAGGCAGGGCAAGGCCCGGGTGTTCCCGGCGGCCCTTCTCCCGGCGATGGCGACGGGGGTGAGGGGGTGGCTGGGGAAGAGCTCGAAGGCAGGGCAAGGCCCGGATGTTCCCTGCGCCGTCGTTCTGAAGCCCCCGCCAGTCAGCTGGGCGAAAATGCTGGCTGGGGCTTTGCGACGACTGCGGGGAGAGCTCCCC